TTCCACCAAGAAATGTGGTGTGTGGTGGGAAAGGCACACCCTGTACCAGAGAGGAGGAATCTGACTTTTTAAGAGATTTTTTTCTATACTGTTTTTTCCTGTATTTCATCCCAGCAAAATTTCAGTTATTTGATCTTGCAGAGTTGTCAGGTCTGAACTTAAAGGGATATTGTCTTGCAATCTAGGCCCAACACTTTAGGATTTTTGTGTCTTAATTAAAGGAAATCTTTCAAAAGCTATTACTTGGAAAAAATTACTTGTTTGGTTTTTTTTTTTTCTCAATGACCGGTAAAATGCAGAAGCAAACTTTTCTTTGGAATGCTTGGAGTCCAAGCATTTCAACTTTGTGATAATGCAAGGAGCAAACCCACCCCATGAATGAAAGAGAATGTGAAACTTGATTGAAGTGCAAAAAGTAAATTCAAAGCAAGTAAAAGTGAAATGGATTTTTGAAGCAGCATGTAAGAATTTTGATGTGAAATTTAGCCTTACTCTGTTCCTTTGCATAAAGTTTGTGTAAAACTGGCTACTTGACAGACTGATTTTTTTTTGTTAGATTTTTAGGAGCTCTGCTCTTGACTATCCTGTCACCACTGTGCTGTGTCAGCAAAGCTGTTTTGAATTCCTGGCCCCCATTAGCACAAGGTCCTCACTAACTCACAGTGAGGTGAACATACAACACTTAGTATTGACAGAAATAATACTAGAACTAGGAAAAAACAGTAAAGAAAAACATCTCTGCCAGTTTTCTTCCCAGTGCACATCTTTGATGTGTGATCAGGCAGCGTTCCAAGCACATTTTGGTTTTTGCCATTGTGACCCTCCCTCCATAAGCACCTCCATGTCCACTGAGCCATTCGTGTATGTTCTAGCTTAGTTTGCCCCTCATAGTGCAGGAACTCTGTGTAGCCCTTTTGAAAATGAAGCCTTGCTGTACCATGGAAGTGTATGGTTTTTTTTTTCCCCCAAGGTATTTCTTCAGGATTTGATTTAGTCCATGGAATTGCCAAAACCCCCATTTATTCCCAACATGTAAAAAGTTTGGTTTTATTAGAAGATATTAATTGAAAGAGGTTATAAATGTTGCATTGCCCTATGCTGAACACTTTGGTTTCTGTTTTGTGACCAAAATGCTTTGTTTTTTGAATCGGTTTTTATAAACACTGTTGGAAGGTTAATTTTTTTGTTTTCAAATAATTTTGAAGAAAGCAGAGTTCAAAATCAGGGGAAGTGTTACATGTTTGCATTTTTTAAAATGCTATGCCAAGCCTTGCACTCGAGTTAAAATTCAAGATTTTTTAATTGATTTTTGGGGAAATTTTTTCTCTGCCATGGGGCTGAAGAACAGTCCTGTGCATAAAATCAAAACCAAAAAAAATGATATTATGGATGTTTCTTTAACATTGGGTTTCAAGGGAAGGAAAATGAGGTCAGGTAGTAAAGCAGAAATATTTTCCTCATTGCTTTTAAACAAAATGAAGGAATTTGATGTCATTGGGACCATTCTTTGAATACTATACCATGTAAGGAAGGCTTTGTAAGAATACCTTTAAATAAGTTATTATAAAATTTTTCCTTTACATTCCATTGCTTTCATAATTTGTTAATTTTTTTTTTTAAGTTGTTTTGTTGCTTTTTCCTCTTCATGTGTAATAGCTCTGTCACTCTGGAACAGTGATGCCCCAGGTCCTACGAGGCAGATCCCCCCTTCCAGAAGCCACAGTCTGTGCTGCCAGGCACAGAGCACCCCTGGGCTCTGGGCTGGGCACGGAGCCCACGGCGCCTGGGGGATCACGGGCACATCCAGCACAGCAGCACGCAGGACAGCCGCCCTTGTGTCTGTCCGTGGGGACAGAGAGACTCTGTTCACACAAACAGATCTGAGCCAGGGGCTGTTTGACCTTCTGCTTCCTTCTACCTCTCCCTGCTCTGTGCTGCTCCGGGCCCTTGGAGCTCTGCATCGCTGAGGCTGCAGCCCAGGCGGTCACTTGGGAGTTCCTGGGAATTCCTTCCTCCTGCTGGGCACGGCTGGAGGCTGATCCTGAGGAGGAGTGTGGATCAAATTCTCCTTTGGTACTCGCTGGCCATGGGACCCTGTGAGCTGAGCTCAGGCACTCACGTGGTGATCTGGGAGAATTTTGGTTTCTGTAGCAGGACAGGTGGGGTTTAGGTGCATTGTAATGAAGGCTTCTGTACCTTGCTCTGCAGCCTGGGGAAACAGGCTGACGTATTGTTTAAAAAAGAAGACAGAAGAAAAGTTATGAGATTGTTTTCTTTCTCCCACTGTTCAAATACAAGGTAAAACAATCCTTAAGACTTGAGCTTTCTCATGATGCAACTCAATACTTTTTAGCATTCAGCAACTTGAAGGATTTTCTGTTATAAATTAATCTAAACAACATTAACTGTGGCATATTATGTGGCCTTAAATGATGTTCTTTGTGTCTTGCCCATCAAAGTAGCAAAATGTCTTTCCTTTTCTAGCAAAAAGCTGATACATGACAGCCAATTTCAGAATTTGTTGTTCTTTTATCACATGAGCAAGCATGGAAACAATTTTCAGTTGAGTATGTTAGATGTAATTTCATACAACCTAGGAAAAATAATCAGAGTAAATGTCTGTTTTGTTCAATAGCTTTGTGTTCATGGTCAGGTTTTAGGAGGTTTTTTATTTGAATTACTTGGAAAAGCAAAATATCTTGAAAGACGTATTAATGGGTTTTTTCCACATTGTTGAGTCTCGTTATTCCATGTCTGACTGCTTGAGAAATTTCAATATCTTATTAAATGTTGAATTTTACTCCTAGTTATTTAAGAAGTTGCTAAGTCTCTTTTGTAAAACAGCTCTATATACTTACTTTGACACCTGGTTTTTTTTCTTTTTCTTGAAAGAAAAAAGTGGAATTGATACATACTGAGCAAGCATGGTTTGGCAGTGAGGGAACAGGGCTTTGTTCTCTCATAGGGAAAGCTCCAGGCCTTGGCCTTCCTAAGAGATGCCCTGGAAATACTGTTTTTATGCTTCCACAGAGGTGATAGTGATTGTGCTGTGGCTTGTCTTCCCATGCTGCTTATCACAGAGCTGCTGACATTTCTTGCAGTCCACTTTTTCCAGTACTGCTCTCTGTTGGTCATGATTTTACAGGTTTTTGTGACACTGAGCTGGGGCTCCCCAGCCCAGCCAGCACTGCTCCCTCGGGGTCCTTCTGCTGTCACAAATGCTGGTCCTGCTCGGTCAGGTCTGAGTTTGACTCTTCGGCTTTTTCAGACAGGTTTTTTTGGGTCTGGTTTGGCTTCACCTGTGGAGTCTCCCGTGTGTGACTGCAGCTACAATTTTTAAAAAAGCATTTCAGAGATCTGCTTTGATGCTGGTGGCTGATAGTTCTGCTGAGGTCACCTGGTGCTGTGCATCAGGATTGTGTCCTTCTGCTGCTCTGAGGAAAAGCACAGCCTTGGGCCAGAGAGAAGCTCCATGTCTCCTAAACCAGCAGTGGGAGTGGCTGCATGGAGCTCTGCCCGTGCTGGGCAGTGGGGAGCATCCCTTGCTGCTGATCCAGAACAGAATCACAGAATCGTTTGGGATGGAAGGGACCTTAAAGACTTTCCTCTTCCACCCCCTGCCATGGACAGGGACACCTTCCCCAGACCAGGATGCTCCAAGCCCCATCCAGCCTGTGACCACTGCCAGGGATGAGGCAGCCACAGCTTCTCTGGGCAGCCTGTCTGCCCACAATGGCTGATGTACCACTCTTGCACCCAGTTACTCACCTGACAGAGTTGAGACAGATCAGAGAACTGATATATATTTTATAAACTCTTTTAAACACTTTTAACACCTTCCCTGGGGAGAGGAGAAGGAGCAGTTGAGGGCAGGAACCACTTAACCCCCCACAGCTGGGTTCCTTCAGCCATCTCTGCTGCTGCAAGATTAAGTGAGAAGTAACACCTGCTACCACCTCTGTGCAGAGCCATTTAAAATTGTGGATCTTGTGACAGAGATACTGTTTTTACTGGCCATTGAGAGCCGGTGAAGCACAGCACTGACACACAGGGGTCACAGCTGGCTGGGCTGGGTTTACCCAGCACCTGTGTGGGAATGTCACTGTAGGAGGAAAAAGGAAAACAAGGCGGGAAGGTTAAGAGGCCAAAGGTACTGGTTTCATGGAGCAGTTGACACTGGCTCCAGTACAGGTGATGTTGAATTTTTTTCTGGGCATTTCTGACTGCCTGGGATGCTGGCTAAGCATTTCCCAGAGAAAAACATAATAGGGGACACAGAGCAAGCAACAACTTAAAGAGTCAACCAGCCACACACAGGAATCATCTCTGGAAAATACAAATCACATTAGTTTAACCAGATGGTTAAACTGGGCTGGGTGCACAGAAGAGGGCTCGGAGTGCCACAGCAAACAGGTACAAACAGCATCCAGGATCAGGGACAGAACTTTGCCCAGGCATTTGGGCAGTGGGTCTCCTACAGCCCCTCTCCTCAGCATGCAGAAAGGGGCAAGGCATCTTCTGTGCCTGCACGGTGCTGCTCCTTTGGAGCTCCACTCTGAAGCACCACCTGGCAGCAGGAAATAAAAGGGACATTTTTCCAGGAATCAACCATTACTTCAGTTGCACATTTGCCCACAGCTGAAAGGAAGGAGAGAGTTTTAGGATCTTTGACTTGTGCTTATGCTAAAATTTTGAGAATGGGGAACAAAATAAAAAATTGCATATTATTAAAAGGAGGTATATTCATGTTAGTTTGTGCTTGGGTGAAAATTAGTGTTGTATCAAAGGGACCTCAATAACTGGAGCAGTCACTCCTCACTGTTGAGCTGACTATTAAAATGGAGAAACAGGATTGATTGCTGTTTGGGGCTTTTTTCCCCCTGATGAAAGGAGAAAAGTATTTACTTGTGAAGGAAGCCAGCAATTGGAAGGAGAAGTTTTCCCATGAGCCCAGTGCAGCAGAGCAGGGAGCTGGGTTGGTTTGCACAAGTAGCCACAACTCAAAAACTGACTTTTATTCCCCAGCACTGATTTCAGCTATACAGAAGTAGGTTGCTGATGGTTAAACACCTTGCCCAGAGCCACATCTGCGTTGCCCCAGGGGAAGGAGAGGCTGCTGGCCATGGCCAGGGCTACCAGCCAGCATAGACGGGCTCCGTGTGCTCCGTGCCCCCGTAGGAGGCGGGCCCTGAGCCCCGGGGCAGCAACAGCCACTTCAGGGAGTTCTTGCCGTGCTCCTGCCGCCTTCTCAGGATTATTAGAAAGACAACAAGGATCCCACCTGGAAAGAAAGGAATGGTAGTTATTCACAGATGGGAAGGTAAAGTGTCAGGTGAAGTTTGCTCCAAAGCTTCTCAACTCAGGAGTTCTCTTCTGGTAAAATAAGGGGGTTTTTTTCCTCCCACATATTCTGTCCCTCTCCAAAAAAGAGGGGTGGGGGGAAAGGTTCCACTAACAATAATAACACTCAGCTTCAGCAGTTCAGCTTGACTCTGCAAGGAATAACAACAAGTTTTGACAAAATAATTCAGTAACTTGCTTTCCTACTCCCATTTACTCTCTGGAACTGTTTTCTACTTGGCATCTTACTCACTGCAGACCACACCAAAAGGATCTTGTTGAGAAATTAGTTTGCTCTGTGCAGCACTCACACTGAAGTACAAGAAGTAACTAAGCTAGATTAACTCTGAGTCTAGACTGAGATCAGGGCTGTCAGGAAAAATTACTTTTGGATTGGGCATAGACATGGAAGTAATTGGCAAATCTCAAGTAGTGTGACATTCTGTTCGTTTTTTTCTGGCAGAAGCATCATCAGAGAAAATGGATCTGAACAGCAGAGCACAAATCTGTCTCTGTGATGCAATATGGCCAGACAAATACACCCAAATTTCAGTTGTGTGAGCAGACAGCCTCATGGTAAACACTTGATTTGTGAGACCAGCCGTGAAAAACTCGCGGGTTCCTGCGCAGGCTGTTTCCTTTCCCCCTCTCTGCAGCAAGCTCTGGGAGAGGCAGGAATGCTGTTCCCTGACCCTGGGACTTGTTTATCACAAATGCTGGTTAATGGGCCATTGTCCCTCTCTGGGCAGTCTTTTCATGTACTTCAGTTTAATCTACTTTTTCAAATTAATACTCGCTTCAGATGGCATCTGCTTTGGCAGATTTTTGGACAACAGCCTGGCATGAGGGGATAGAGGTCAGTGGAGGACCTTTCTCATGGCTCCAAGCCACAGCTTGTGAGAACAACACTCATCTGCTCCCCCCAGGCACTCCAGCACTCAGAGGGTGCTGCTGGAGCTCCTGCAGACCCTGCTGTCCTTGTCCCCTCCTCAGCTGCCAAGTGTGATGAGAACACTGCTTTCTTGTTGGAGAAGCAGCTTTGCTGTGTGTCTTGTAACACACACATTGAATCTCTCCTCTCTCTCCTTTTAACAACAGCCAGCCAAGTGGAGAATGGGTCTTCAGGAAGCACATAAAATACACCTGAAACAAAGAAGCTGTGAATATGAGGCTTGTTGGATATTCTTTATCCTCTGGTGGCTTACTCATCTCTATGACTTGGCTCTCTTGACACAAGATTTTCATCTCTGGTACTGTAAGTGGCACTTAGAGATTTCTCTTCATCTCTCTGGGCACAGGAGACAGATTCCTCCTCCCAGCTTCCTCATCTGCCCTTCTTGCAATCCACAGCACTAACAGTTGCTCATTTTCATCATAACTCTGATTAAACCTCCCCACAACTTTGATTAAAACCAAGAGAACTCTATTTTTCCCTAAGACTAAAAATGCATATTCATTGTTTTGGAATGATTATTCATGGTGCAGCTTCCCAGTTGAAAAGCTCATCCACTCATTAGCTTGCCCTAGTGAGCTAATTCACAGCAGGTGGCTTCTGGAGGGATGCTCCAGACACTCAGCAGGTCCTGACTCATGGATACAAGGAACATTTGGCATCAATGCAACCAACACTGTATGGGCCATCAGCTCCCCATTCTGCTGGATGCTGTGGCATGACTTAAGGCATGAATGCTTTCAGGAAACCAAGTCTCATACCAAAAGGAAATTGTACTTTTTCATACTTTGGTGCAGCCAAGAAATCCCTGTTTGAGGGTCCATACACATCCCTGCTTCCCAGGGACAAACAACAAACATTCAGCACTGTGCCACCTTCCTTCAGAGCAAGGGACAGGACTGTCACTGGCACTGAAAGCAGCCAGAAGGACTTTCATTAGAAATCCAGCTTTCCAGAAACACAGAACACACCACCCAGGGAATGCTCGGTTTAACACAGCTGCAGAGGGGTTTCACCAGAGGACAGACTGACCTGCTGAGAAGGTGGCCAGGACAATGACCGTGGCAGGGGTCAGCTGGCAGGAGTCCCCTGCCTTGTACAGGAAGAGCTCCATGCAGTAGGTGGGCTCCACGCTGCCCCGGGGGCAGAAGGCATCAGGAGGGCACTTCACTGGGTTCACATCTGGGCTCTGCCCAAGAGAAGAAGTAACTCAGCACCAGCAAACTGCAGAAGGTAACCAGGGCAAAGGGAGGTGACGTTTTAGCATTAGGGGGAAAAAATAAATAAAGGAATGAGCGTGCCATCATTAAATTCAGCCTCATCTGCCCTGCAGTGTTGGAGTGTGGGGAAGAGCAGAAGGTGTTGTTACACAGCAAGTCTGTACCCCAAACCCCCTCATTAATGCACACACCATCCCCTTGTGGCCCAGTCAGAGCAGGCAGCTCCAGGCACAAAGCCACACTCCTGGAGTCTTAATTTTAATCATCTCCCTCCATCAGAGCCCTATGTTTAAGAGAAAGGAAGCTCAGATTACAAGAAAAAAGAAAGTGTTAATTGAAGTGTATTTAGCTTGTCGTGGGACAGCTCTGCCTGGCACAGGCTGTCCCCAGCTGCTGGGCACTCACGGGGCAGTAGTGGTTTTCTGGGCACAGGTCACAGCTCTCCTTGCCCCGCTGTAGTTGGTACTCTCCTGTGCTGCAGGCCTTGCATCTGTTGTCACTGGGACCTTTGAATGTACCTAAACAGCAAATAAGCACAATATTAAGATTTGAGACTAAACCCCAGGACCTTTGCAATTGCATATGGATGAATCAGCTTTCAAAGCCTCGGGGAGAAAGAGCATTAAGTGCTCATGTGCATAACAAAAGCTGAGCTGAACTTTGGTCCTGGTTCGGTGGCAAAGGGTCAGAACAGAACAAACAGGGACAGAGGGACTAAAGAGTATTTGGGGTCAGACCTCGGCAAACAGAGTAGTGTGCGTAGGAGTACAGGAGAGGGGATTAGCTGTGAGTTCTGGCTTTAATGTAGGGAAGATGGGAGCTGGAGGTCAGCAGTGTTTCATCCTCTCCAATTCTGGATTCAAACACCTTTTCCAGCTGTTTGAAACTTGCTGAGCAGACTTCAAAGCACAGCTCAGTTTCCCAAGCTTTGTAGGAGAGACAGGTCACAGCAGTTCCAAATCTCACAGTGGTAAAACGCTTTCCTGCATGTTTAAGATGCAGCTTGGCTGTGAGACCCCCTGGGGCTGTGTCCAGACCGGAGGCTGGCCCCTGCCATGGGAGGAGTGCCGTGCCCGAGCCCTGCCCTGCCCTGCTGGCACCTGCGGCAGCCTGGCGGTGTTTCAGCCAGCGCAGGAGGGAGCACGGCCGTGTCCCTCACGTCCCCTCCCCGTGTCCCTCACGTCCCCTCCCTTCGTCCCAGGCTGCCCCTGCAGAACACCCATCTCTGACCGCAAGGCTGGGCTTTCCTCAGCAAAGCCACCACCACCGGCAAAGATGCTTTTTGCTGGAACTGTTTTGTTACCCAGCTGTGGATTTGGGCTCCCGGATGTGCCAGGGACCAGCACACCTCCAAGGCATTAACCAGCCTGGCACAGGCACAGCCTCCACCAGCACCCAGTCAAACCACCGGCACTATCCCTCACAGCCAGGGCTCAGCTCTGCCTGCAGGGCACCTGCAGGGTCAGCTGAGATGGCTCTGGAATAAGCGGCTGGAGCTGGAGCTGGAGCTGTGCTCCCAGCCGGGCACAGCCTCTCCTCGGGCACAGCCTCCCCTCGGGCACAGCCTCCCAGCCGGGCACAGCCTCTCCTCAGGCACAGCCTCTCCTCGGGCACAGCCTCCCAGCCGGGCACAGCCTCCCCTCGGGCACAGCTTCCCCTGGGGCACAGCCTCTCCTCGGGCACAGCCTCCCCTCTCACCTGGCAGGCAGGACTCGCACCCCTCCGACGCCTCCCGAGGAGCCTCCTGTCCCCCGGGGCAGGACAGACAGGCCGAGCAGCTGGTGGTGCTGGCAGGGGAGAGGAGGCAGGACACGCTGTAGGATGAGCACTTCCAAGACCAGCCCAGCCCACCAAAGCCAGTCTCCAGGAACCTCTGCTGTTTGTCTGTCTGTCTGTCTCCAGTGCAGTTTCTCACACAGAACCACAGAATGGTCTGGTTGGAAGGGACCTTAAAGATCATCCCACCCCAACCCCTGTGCCATGGTCAGGGACACTTGACCGGGTTGCTCGAAGCCCCATTCTACAGCTGAAGTGGCAGGTGACTTCTCTTTGGGCACTACACTGGTGGTTCCAGCTCAGTGGCTAAAAGGAAACCTCCCCTCCCTTTCCATCTGAGCTCCTGCACCCCAGGCGGCTCCTTACTTGCAAAATGATCCTGGCTGGCAAGGCAGACAAAAAGCTGCATTTTGCTTGGAGCTAAAATATCCTGAAAAAGAGAAGAATAAGGCTTCAGGATCCTGTCTCCACACCTCTGCCCCACATCGTTGTGAATGTGCTCATGTCCATTTTACAAGCAGCCAAACAACTCCCCACAACAGGCTTCAGGTGGCATTTCAGGGCATTTGGGGTTATATATTTGTCAAAAGCTCTGAAAGAGCAATGGAAATTCCCTGCTGCTCTCTGCCATGTTGAGGGATGCCTGGAGGGCTCTGGCAGATTCCCCTGGTGAATCTCACATCTCACATCACTCACAACCACGGCAAGGAGACAGAGAAACCCGTCACCCTCCCCAGCACCACAGGCTGAACTGGAATGAAGCTGGAAGAGGTGTTTCCAGTGCCAACTCCCAAGTTATCCAGCTGGATGGAACAGGTCTCTGGCCGGGGGAACCTCTCTGGTCACCCCAGCCCTTCCAGGCCTGCCTCCACCCCAGGAAGTCTGGGATGCATCTCCTTCCCTGCAGAAGGAAGGACACAAGACCCACCTGCCAAGATGGCTCTGCTGGTGCAGAGCCTCCCTCCCTGCACCACGAGGACCAGGATGGGCAGGAGGACATGTACAGACCCTTCCCAAAGCACAAAAAGGAGTGAAGTGCCCCAAAGTGCCCAGGGGCCAGCAGGACCCAGCTTGTGAGTCCCACCACACAACAGGAAAGCTGAGAGAGCAGCACTTGGGAATTCAGGAGGGTTTGGAGGTGCCTGATGATGCACAACGTGGTCACTGCCCACATGGGACAGAGTTAAGGTTCAGAGAGGAGCTGGACGTGGTGTGGGTTAAGATCTGCCTCAAACCTGGATTTGCACCAGGCAGCAGAAGCTGTGGCACAGCAGGATGAAACCAAACACACCTCCCCTCTCCCTGCAAGGAAAAAGGAACTTTTTACATTTACACCTGCAGGATTTAGGGGCCAACCCCACAGACGCCCCTGTTGTCTAACACAGTGTTTAAATCTGCTGAGTAAAGGGAGGGGCAGACCCCATTGCTGTCACCAGTCAGGTTTTGTTCCTCCTAAACTCAAGGTTCAGGTACAGCCCAGCAGCTCGGTGGGTGGATTTCCAAAGGAACAGTTGTGCATGTTCAAGCAGGACTCCATTTTGGGTGCAGAGGAGCTGCTGCACTGCATGTGTTAATGAGGGCTTGGTATAAGCAAGTGCTGTTCTGTTCTGTTCTGCACATGGGCTGTTACCCCATCTGCAAGCACATTGTACTAGGCTGGAGTGGCATTAGCAGGTGCAAAGCAGCTCCTTTTTAAAACCTCAGTTTTAATGTGTGGAAAATAAGGAGAGTATTACACTTAATATTCAGACTGCAGAAGATTGCCTAAATGAAAACAAAGATGGTTTCGACTCAGTTTTGCTATCAGAAATAGAGAATATTTTGTTTCTTGACAACCCTCCCCCATTGTGCTAAAATGGAATTTCATAAAAGTTTTTTCCTGACTTTCATTGCAGAGTTAGCATTAACTTGTTGCAAAAACAAGCATGGCTGAGATCTGCTCTTTTCATTTTAATAACAACAGAATAGGATAGAGATCTGCTGGGCTATTTTTAGCCTGTTTACCCTTCAGTGCTTTTAAGTTACCTGGTAATTGCATCTGCCCCTGGGAAAAAGCATCATGTGATGAAAATGCATTTGGGTTGAACACAGACCAAAGCCTACCTCGCTCACAGGCTCTGCAGGCTGCAGCCCCAGACTCATTAGCAAAATGTCCTGGTGGGCAGGAAAGACACACAGTGCTCCTTGGGAAGCTGGGAGGGAAGAGAGCAGAGTGGGACACAATTTTAGGTCACCCAATCCTCCATCCACTTGGAGAAGAGAGAGCAGAACATGACACTGACTACTCTAGAAATAGAGAAATTATGAAAAAGGAGCTCAGGCAGAAAAACATCGGTTTGAACTCATCTGAATTTTAAAGGTCCACTAAAAAACTGAAGTTTTCTGTATTACTAACATTAGAGATGCCCTGTGCCTGTGGGCAATATGGAAAGGGACCATCTGAATTGAAGGTCTTTAAGAATATGCTGTGGTCAGACTTAAAACCCTTTGCTTAAGTCAAGACTCTTAAATCCACTCTTGCAAATGGAATAGGGAAGGTGTTTGCTGTTCAGCATCCCTCAGGGATTTCAAAAGGAGCCAGAAAAAGGACCTAAACCACAGGCAGTGACCTGTGAGAGCCCTGACCTTAAATAGCAGGGACTGTGGGAAAAGGGAGCCAATATGTCAGACCTCCAGGAGGAGGGGGAGAAAATGAGTGAGGCAAAGGCAGGGAAAGAGGAAGCTTTTACATTCATCACTAACAGAGCCAAATCCCCCTCAATTCCTTATCAAAGGAATTTGATAACGTACTCAGAGATGCTTTGGAGGAAAACAAGGACATGCTCTTTAATTCCTTCTGAAACTGCAGGGCTGCATGAGATTTGCAGAAAAAAACCCAAAACCAACCAACCAAAAAAAAAAAAACAAACCAACCAAAACCAACTAACCAACCAACCAAACAAACAAACAAAAACACCCAAAAAAACAACCCAAAACCCCCCAAACCAACTGGAAACATAGCAAATGCTTTGCTGAAAACAAACCAACACAGGGTGTGGGCCAGCCTGAGCCTCTCAAAGCTGCAAGGAGGCCAAATTCTCCAAACACCACAGAAATGTTAAATGGTCCCATGGAAGCCCTGAGGCCCAGGCAGCCACCAGGAGATGGCCATGCACACACTGCACCCCAAGGTCCCCTCCAGATCCCCCACTTTTGGTCCCTGCTCTGGCACCCACCAGCCCAGCCCTGCTGCCTGACCCTCTCTGGCCCCTGGCCCTCTCCCACATGCCCAGAGCAGCAGCTCTGTGTGTCCTGGAGACTGCTCTTGGCTGGTTTTTAAAGCAATTTGGGGGTACATTTTTAAGGCAGGTCCTCACAGCACAAACTGCAAGAGCAGAGCACGGAGGGGAGCACAGAGGAAGATCCTGCTGGCACCTCAAACTCAGGGGCTGCTGCAAACAAACTTCACAGTCAGGTCACCCTTCCTACAGCCCAGGACTGGTCCAAATGGAGCTGCTCTGCAATGGACACAGTCCTGGGAGGCTCTTGCCACTCCTCCTGTCCTTGCCACCCACAAAGGACACAGCTCACTGCTTGCAGACATGGATACAGCAAGAGAAAATCCAACAGGAGTGGACAGAGCAGCACATGCACAAGTCCCCACAGCCAGAGGACACTTGTACAGCATCCCTGGATTGGGCAGCCTGCTGGAATTGCAAGACTGGGCTCCTGGTTGGGTTGTCTTGTCTGCTTTTCCACACTCTGTCAGCTGAGAGTATTGCTTTAAATGCCAGCAACTCAAATGTAATGAGATGCCTTGGGAGCAAGAAAACAGGGATTGAGAAAGTAATTGGGCAAAGTAGGGAGATGGAGCCTGTTTGTCAGACATATCCTAGAGAAAAGCTGAGGAGATGAACCCACACCTCACTGCCAAGTGCCTCCCCACCATAAAGCAACATGTTCCCTCAGTGCAGACAAAAGGCATGAGGGTAAAAAAGGGAAGCCCACAGAGGGGCAGCCCTCAGCACAACCATATTGACACCAGCTTTCCTGATGAGGAGAATTTAGCCTCTGAGAAACAGCCCTGGCAGCACTTTTCCTACAGCCCAAAGGAAGAGATTTTTCTGTCTGGGAAGTGTTTTGTGGTTTATCACCCAGTCCCCATGCGAGGGGCTCAGTCACTCACCTGGTGTAGGAGCCCTGTGGGCAGGGCAGGCAGGATGGTTGCCCACCTTGGGGCTGGTAGTGGCCTGGAGGGCAGGGGCTGCAGGCACCGGGGCCGATGCACGCGCCCCCCGCGCAGCACGAGCAGCTCAAGGTGCCTAAATCGGGACAGAAAGTCAGGATCAGGATTGCAAGACTTGACTGAAACCGCTGTGTCTGCCAGGACAGGTCACTGCCACGAAGGCAGAAACTTTGGGAGTGCCTTGCAGTTCCCCTGGCAAGGCACTCATAGAGGGTAGAAACTGCAACATTCATGCTAATTATGCTGCTGTCCACCGTTAGCAAGCTGCAGAACAGCCACAAGGTGATCTAAGAAGTCAAGGCTATCAGTGTGGATCTCCAGTAATGAAGCCGACTGCTTTTTCCTTCTTTAATTTGAGGGGCCAGGAAAATTTTTCTTGTTTTCCCTCCAACACACAAAAAAAAGGACACACACAAAAAAAGAAACCAATATACTTCTTTAGATTACTGATAATTTGAGCTTGTAGGAAGCAGAATTGATGAGTAAAGCTCCAGAGTCGAGGATCTGCCTTAAGCAGCAACAGCTTTTCTTTGAGGATGGGTACCATGGCATTCCCAGCAGGCAAGTTCTACCCCTCTCTTCTCCACAAAACCAATCCCAGCCACGCAGAGGAACTGGGTGGATTTACCTCAGCTGCACCACCAACACAGGCAAAAGGAAAAGGCCCTGTCAAAGAAGATCCTGCATAAAAGGGAGGTGGGAGATAACCCCAGTCCTCTGCAGATCCACCCTAAAGCATCAGAGCTGCTTTTAAAAAGTGCCCTGCAGGGCAGGGAATAAGCAAAAAGTACATGGCTTGTATTTTGGAGAATTATTTTCTCTTTTTGAGAATTTTTTTTTGTAGGATGGGGTGGTGGTATTTGAAACCAGAACCGACCATGTTACAACAAATAACTTCTGGGAAAGGTGATATTATGCACTGCTGACCACAACAGAGGTTGATCAAGGATCTTCTCAAGGCCATGGAAAAAGGCTGTGTCTGTAGCAGAGATTCTCTTTCAAACATTCCAGACAGCTGGAAATTGACCTTGTATTTGGCCCTGGAGCCCAAAATTACGTTCTGCCAATAAATCAAACTGGACTCATGTTACACTTTGTGCCACAATCCGACCACTTTGTCACCCCACTGAGGAAGCCTCAGAAAGACCAAAACACAGCACAAGGCCAGGGAAGACCAAGCCTCTGATTTCAGGAGGGTGAAATGAATTAAGTCCCTTTCCTGCTGCCTGTCCAAGCTTCCAACACAAGAACAAGTGCTGGCTTCACCTGCCCTGACAAATCTCATTTCCTCTAACACAGCAGCCGGGAGCAGGGACCTTACCTTGGGTAGGGACAGTCCCTGGGGGGCAGGGGACACAGGCTGTCACATTCACTCTGCTGCAGTTGGAGGGCTGGGGGGTGCTGGGGGGCAGAGCTGACGACGGGAGCCCAGGGGATGTGGTCACCCCTGGAGGGGACGCTGGGGCACTGCTGGGTGTGGCTGTCAGTGCTGAAGATGCTGGAGATGTGGCCCGGCTGCCAGAGGTGGGGACAGTCCCCGTGCTGGAGGGCAGAGTCTGGGCAGGGGTTGTTGTGCTTGGATCAGCAGATGGAGCTGCTGTGGGTGCAGCAGGGCTTGCAGTGGTTGGTGTCAGTGCAGCTGAGAGCGTTGCAGGAGCAGCTGGGGGAGCAGAGGCCGTAGCAGGGGCTGCACTGGGAAGTGCTGTGGTGGATGCAATGGGAACCTCAGTGCTGGTTGCACTGGGAGGTGCTGGGGTTGATGTGATGGAGAACTCAGTGCTGGCTGTCTGGCCTAAAGCAATACCTAAGAGAAGAAAAAACATAATTAGCAGTTGAATTATTGTTCTCTCTTTTATATGGCTTCTCATTTAGGTCTTTATCAACTGCTTAAACCATGTGTCCTTGTCTGATGTCCAGAAACTCCCCTCTGCTGTGTTGCACTACAGAGCAAAGATCTGAGGCAGCACCTGAGCATGTCTGGCACGAGAGACTTACCAAGGAAATAAATTAGTGGGTCCATGAGGCCACAAATAAGTAAATGCCAGTGTCTGGGAGGTCTGACTCATGGGTGTGAGAATTGCCTGAAACAGCCAGTTTTGTTAGCTCCTTGAGACTGTTTACTCTGAGATCTCATGACAATCTGATTTAAGATGCTTGTCAAGTAGCTGACTGCTTTATCCCATCTCCCTTAAACAGATCAGCCAAGAAAAGACATTGGCTCAGGGCTCTTTTAAACTGCTCTGGTGGTACTTCCAGTAACCATGAAGGGAACCTGTGGACCAAGACTTGCTTTAATTCTGAAATCCCTCATCAGAGTGAGGATTGCTGAAATCTGTAGAGAAAGGAGGTAGTGCTGCAGCTCAGGTTGTTTTGCTATGATACATGGTGGACTGGAATATTATCTGCTGATGGAAGACATCCCTTGGCACAGCATGGGTAATGTCCTCCAGTTTCCAACAGAGGAGAGACCCATGAAACTGAGCACGGAAAGCAGCAGGTTATTGTTAATTTAGCAGTGTGGTACTAAGCAAAGGAAGAAAAGCAAAACCAAAACAGGCAGCTCCTGCCCCAGCAGCTGTGCCACCAGTTGGGTTCAGGAACTCAGGGCAGGGATTTCCTCAATATTTACTGCAACTTCTGAAAACACCCAACCTTAAATAGCACCAGCAGGCAACTGGAGCTGATGCTATGGGGTGTAAATGCTCTCTCAAGCAGCACACACCTGCTAAGCCTCCTTGCCAAACCATGCCCAGTGGCACAGAAAACACAAGGACTCCTAAGAAATTGGTTTATGGTTTTCCAGGAGGTCAAAGAGTGCAGCTGACACTCGACAGTGGGATGTAGGTGAGGAAGGACACGGGCAGGGTGACAAGATGGGTGACAGCACAAGCTGTCAGGTGTCAGACCCACATCCCTGCAGGCTTTCCCCCAGCCCTGATTCAGCCCCAGCCTTTAATTTCTCTCTTAATTTTGTACCCACCATGCAAGGCCAGGCACTGTGGGCACCAGTGCTCAGCACTACCATGGTACAAACATCAAAATGCAGACCAAGCTGATGGCAGCTCCAGTTAAAGTTCTGCACCAGGATCAGGACAGTGGATAAAAGAGTCTTTATAAGGTTGTGATCACATGGAGACAGTTTGCTGGGAGTGCTCCCTCCTGTTGTTGACTGCCTGCTTTGTGCCAAAATCCGTGTTGGTGTAACTGCTGAGTAAAGCAGATGAGCACCCAGCCATCTGGGCCACTGCTCAGGTTTTAAAGAATTTACAGAACAGTCTGAGTTGGAAGGGACCCAGAGCACCATGGACTCCAGCTCCTAAAGACAATGGCCCAATGTGGATCAAACCCACAACCTTGGCATTATTAGCACTGTGCCAATAATGTTCAGCACCAACTGAACTATATCTCATTTTCTTGCTGCAGCCCTAAAACAGAGACACCAAATCTAACAGTGATCATTCTGTAACACACTGGTTTGCCCCGGGCTCAAATCCAGAGGACAGAGGTGCCAGCATTGGTCCAAGGCAGGGGGAGCAGCTCCACAGTGCCCACACAAGACCCTGCTGCTGTGGCCAAGCCTCCACCCAGAACCAAGATGCTCAATTCCCCTCATCTGACTCCTGAGGGGTTGAAGCCAGTCTGCTTGCTTTTTCCTCACCTCTGGCAACAAACTGGGTCAGTCCTGAGATCCATTAAACTAATCCTAACATGAACACTTGCAGTGAGGTAAGGGCAGTGTCAAAATCCCAGGAAAAACCTTTCAGAAGGATCTCTGGGATCAAAATCTGACGTCCCACAGCTCCCTCCTGACCCCAACAGCTCAACCCTGCCAGGCAGAGACACTGCAGAGTTTCAGCAACTTGGACTGCCCATAGCTGGATGAATTTTGCTGTTGTTGAGGTTTTTTAGTTGAATATGTTTCATTGGTTGGTTGGTTTTAATGTCAAATGGTGGTGCTGTTAAGAGGAATTTTTAAAAATGGAAAGTAGCTTTCCACAAAACGTTACAGAAAGTAGTAAAGTTGTTCATAACACTTCAGTAGCCATCAAGAACCTTTGGTAGCCAATACTTCTTAATAATTTAAACAACTTCTGGAGAAAAAAAGTCAGAAGGCTGAAAAAAAATTGTTTTGAGCACTAGTTAAGTGATTGTGTATTTTACCAGTTATAGTCAGTCAGAGCTGTGAAAAACCAGTACTCAAACAACCTCAGCTTCATCAGACAAAGCATTTTCTCCTCTGCACTTACACTGTCTATGTCATGGAACAGCGATTTTGCTTTCTAGAGCCTTTTTTGGTTGGTTTGTTGTTGTTTTTTTTAAGGAGCACTGTGAATCACCTGAAGTATCTCCAGGGGAACTTGAAGGATGTGTTATTTTGCATGTGACGCCCTGGTACAAACAGGAGCCTTGAGGAAGTCAGGGAAGGATAGAGAGCTGATCTTTCCCAGCCTACCAACAGGCATCCTGCTCCTTGTGGTTTAAGATAAAGCCTCTGCAAATCCTTACTATGCAGAGTAATACAGCTCTATTTCTTTTTTTCTTTTCTTTTCTTCCTGTAAAAGCAAATTTTTGTATTTACCGCATGCATCCCACTTCCACCACTGCCTGTGTTTCAACACTTCCCTCCTTCCCTGCCTCCCCCCAGGGTGAGGCCCAGGGTTCCCACAGTCCCACTGTGGCTTCACCCCGCTCTGTGCTCAGCCAGTGAAGAGAAACCCTCTGCCAGGAGGCCTTACCTGTTAAGCACACCATGGTTAAAGTCCACAGCAGAGGACACAGCCAGGCACTCATTTTTCCCTGAGGAGTAACACAGCCTGTCAAGAGGCAAGATCAGCAGCTAATGCCCTCACCCAGCTGCTCATTCTCCTCCGCTTTGGTGCCCAATTTTGTCACCTGACTGATCATGTGGCTCAGTCAAGTCAACCTCACCCCAACAAAGGGGGGTTTATATTCGCTTTATATTTGGAGACTGCAACAGGTCTGAGACGATGCGGCCTCCTCAGAGCAGAGCACCCAGCAGGCATGCAGAGGAGCAGATCTGCCCTCCCAGAGCTGCAGAAATCCGTGTGAGGAGTGTTCTGGAGGAACTGATGGGAAGGAAGGGGCAGAGCAGCATGGGAACCCAGCCTGGCTGCGGGCCAGCCCCCCGTGACCTCGTCAAGTGAGAGGATTTCATTTTTTTAGACCCACGGGATTTCCTGAGAGAAGAGAAACAAGAAAAACAATGCCAGAAGACTTCCTATTTTAACTGGGGCCAACCATGCTGCAACCAGAACTCGGCCTCTGGGGAGCACAGAGCTTTCCCAACCAGGATTTCACTCCCCCTCCCTCCCCCATTGCCCCCATGGTGTCCAGCTTGATGCATCAAGTTGTTATCAGGATCAAGCTCATAGATCCTGATGATGATGATTTTGAGGTGAGAGCATTAAGTTTAATGGGGCCTCACCCCATTTTCCATCTGTTCCAGTGTCTGTACTGCCTGCTGGGCCACCTGAGGACACAGATGTCCCCATGAGTTCCTCACCTTGCAGCCCTGCTTTGAAAGATCCCCCTTTCCCTCTGTCCCTGCTGTTCAGCAATCGGCATTGCTAAGCCCCTGCTGTGAGAGGATTTCCTTTAGCATTCAGCTGAATGCCACATCTCACATGTCACCTCTTTGCCCAAACTGAGGGAGCAGAGGGCTACTCATACAGGATTGTGGATGCTCCACACACAGCCCCACAGCTGCACATTCAGTGAGACCAAGCACTGCCATGCACTGCTCGTGCCCCTTGTGCTCCAGGATCCTCAACAGGGCCCAACATGATGAGCCAGAAGTAGCCTGCTCTGACACAAACCCTCAGGCTTTCCTCACAGTGGCCCAGGTGGGGTCAGTTTGGGGCCAGGGACACTTTCTTGTCCTCCTGTCTCTGGCAGTGACAGTCTGCCTAACCATCCTGCTTCATGGTAGGAGCACAGAGACAGGGCAGCCTCCTCCACTGCGGTATCACCAGTTTGGGTGGGTGTGGCATTTGCATTCTCTGAACAGAGAGAGACATAATTCTCTCTCAGGGCTTTTCCTGGAGAAGCACAGAGAGAAGAAGAGAAAACAATTCTTATTTCTACTTGCTGCTCCTGTTGTTTTTGCACATGTGGAATGTGTTAGGAAGGTCACTTACCTGAACTGATCTGTCAGTTGGATTCTGCTGACGATTGTTTTGTTTCTTGGCCAATTGGCTCAAAGCTGTGTCCTGACTGTCTTAGACAGTCACAAGTTTTTCTTTAGTATCTTTTGTATAGTATACTATAGTATCTCTTTAGTAAAGTTATAATACAGTATTAATGTAATATATTATAGTTTTAATAAAGCAGTTGTTCAGCATTCTGAATCAATGGAGTCAGATGCCAATCGTTCCCTGTGCCAGGAGTGCCTCTTTATGCTATAGGTGGGTGCAGGTCAGACTGTGACCAGCTGGCTCCAACACTGTCAGACAGAACCTTAACCCGAACTGATGACTGCCAAAGCGATCACAAGCAAGACATCAGGCTCAAGGACTGAGCCCTGGCAGCCCCTCAGAGACGCTGCCCAGCGGTTCTGGACAAGGCAGGGCTGGGCCGGGTGCTGCCCCTTCCCTGCAGGCAGGAGAGCTCTCAAAGTGACATGGCTCTGCTTGGCTTTGCAGGCTGTACAAGCCTTTGCACAGGATGTTTGATCTCAGTCTGTGTAAAGAACCAGTTCCACCCAGAGCTGTGCAGGGCCATCCACTCTCAGTGAGCTGAGGCTCTGCAGTGAGAGACAACTTCTGCAGGAGCAGCATTTGAGGATGAAGCAGCTCTCTGCACTGTAAAACACTGCCAGCAATTCCCCAGTGAGATTTATTCTGCCAGGGAGGCTGGCAGCAGACCGGTCCCCTCCATCCCACAAGCTGCACCCCCTGGTTAGTGGGGAGGTTTCCCACACTCCCCAGTCCCAGAACCAAATCACACATTGCTGAGCAGCTACAGAACCCATGTACACACTGGAAAAGCAGTTCAGAACTGGATGTGGCAGCACTTTCACTGTCAGTTTCAGCCTAACACATGGAAGAGAAAAGGAAATTGTGCATCAAAGCCATTCCTGTGCCCTCAGAGCCCCCTTTCTGGGTGAGCTACCAGAGCCCAGGAGAGAGATGAGACAGGCTGCTTTCCTCTCAACCATTTTAGCAGCTGGGCAAGCTGGAAATACATTTCTGATGGGGAAAATCTAATGTCACTTCAGGGCAGAAAAGTACAAACAGACAAATTCATAAACTCCTGACCTGCCTGGGCCTGTCTCCATTGAGATTAAATGCTTTTGCTAGTTGGTTCATCAAAAATAAAAAGCAGTGTCATGCTTTATCAAAAGCAATGTCCTAGGCTGGCACAGGGCCCTGATCTTGTCAGTTCTGTTGCTCTTCCATAGTTGGCAGACCTTGTGTCCCCAGACAAACCAGACAGTGCCCCCCACACTCAGAGCTTACAGGGCAGAGACAGGAGCAATGATGCTTCTCCCAAGAACACAGCATCCTGTGTAAACACTCCAGCAGTTTGTTCCAGCTCCCTGGCCTTGCCCAGCCTGGAAAGGACAGCTCTTGTCGAATGCTGTCCTGATCCATCCCAGCTGAGCAAGCAAAGGATGTGCCATCAGAGGTTTCATCTGCTGAGGGCAGACTTGGATTTCTGAGCTTCCCAGGCTTTACAAACCCAAGGACCACCACGGGGCTCTGCATTAACTGCCTGCCAGTCACCTGGGTGTTAGATATCCAAGTGATCTGTTTACAAGCAGAGCTGTCTGCTGAATAAGAAACACTGAGCAGGAAGACTCTCAAACACCAGCCTGCTTCACAGTGTTACCTGTGACCTGCCTCCACCTCAGCTTTTGTCAGCTGGGATGTGACTAAGTGCTGTAGGGGTGAAAATTCCCAGGTGAGGACCCACCTGCAGTGGGGACAGTGCAAAGGAGAGGAATACGTGAGCTGACAGCAGATTGTCACATCCATCAGCCTGAAAATGGTGGGGCACCAGGTGACTTCTTAAGGTCAGGAAGGTATTAACTACAAGCAGAGGAGAGCAGAGTGGTTTGGCTTGAAAAGTACTGCTAAATATCATCTCTTTTCGACCCCCCTGCTATGGAGAGGGACACCTCTAACTAGACCAGGCTGCTTCATGACTGATCCAGCCTGATCTTGAACACTTCCAGGGATGGTGCAGCCACAGGTTCTTCGGGCAACCACTTCCAGTGCCCCACCATCCTCACAGTTAAGATTTTTTTTTCCCTAATAACTAATCTAATACTGTACCTTTTCAGTTCAAAGCCATCCCCCCCTTGTCCTATCACCACGAGTTCTTGTGTCCCTCTCCAGCTCTTTTATAGCTCCTTGAGGTAGCAGAAGGTGCTGTAAAGTCTCCCTGGAGCCTTCCTTTCTCCAGGCTAAACAACCCCAATTGTCTCAGCCTGTCCTCATAGCAGAGGTGCCTCAGGCCTCTGAGGACCTTACAGCCCCTCCTCTGGGCTCAGATAATTTTATCCTTGTATTCTTAGGCTCTTCCATGGTTATCCACCACTCCACTGCACTGTTGGTGTCCTAGGCTTAGCAGACACCTGTTGGAGTGGGAAATGACGGTCGTGCTCCAGGGCAGGCAAGGTGCAGCAAAGCTGTCCTGTTCCCATGACTCTAGGAAAAAGGGGGATGCTTGGTGTGCTGCATGCAGCCATTTCACAGGACTGTGGCCCTTTGGCAGTGCTGCTGAGTTGGGGGGCTGAGCTGCTGCTGTTGCTGGCAAAGAGCAACATATTCAGGCAAACTGCAAGCTGGATTCTGACAGGGGCTTTTTCTTGGAAAAGACTTTTCTTCAAGCATTATATATTGTGATTCATACCCAAACCTGGCTGTGTGTAGGTACCAGGTATCACTTGCTCCTCCGCAGACAAAAAAGCAGAAGCACTCCTGACCCCCCTGGGATGCACCACCCCACGGGATGTACTGGGGAGCAACAGTGAATCCAGACCCCTCTTTTAGGTGCAAGGTTATTCCAAGGTATGTCCACTGACTCCCATAAAACAGGACAGGTGTCCAGGTTTTAGGGATGCAGGTCCAACAAGCAGTCAACAGCTTTGTGCCCAAGAGGGGGCCAAGACACTCCCAAGCAGCTCCACTGTTCCCAGAGGAACACGCAGGGTTTTGTGCTCTGGACGAACGGCCACGCGATGGCACCACAGCGCTGGGCAGGGGACACCGCCACACCCTCGCCGCCACCAAAACCACCTCGCCCAAAAGCAGCCCTTGGGAGCGGCTCTTCCCAAAGTGCCCCCGCAGATACCTCCGGCAGCGGTGGCTGTTGTGGAGGTGGAATAACGAAACCCACAAAAGGGAGCTGGAGGAATTAGGAATTGAAGTAAAAAATAAAAGTTATTACAGTCACTCTGAAATAAAAACCTCACACCTCACCTTTTCTTAAAAAAATGTGTTTCTTCTGTGTGTCTGAGTTTAGAAGGAATAATAATAAAAGAGTAGAGCTAGCCAAAGCAAAGGTGGTGTACTGCAGCAGGGATCTGATGGTTAGCCAGCCATAATCGTATACAGAGGCTAGAAGTTTCTTTTCTCACAAGCAGCACAGAACATTTAATTCTTATTTAGTCCCCCCATCAGTCAAAAAGGTGGTCTTAAATGGACCAGTGTGTCTGGTGGTCAGACAGTTTTAGGATGCAGGTCAAACCCAGCTGGTGCTTTAGGCAGAACAAGTGCAGGGGGTGTTGCCCATGCTGTTCATGCCTGCAGCATTTGGGGGAGCGAAGGAGGAAACACCTTCCATCCAAGCACAGCTTGGGTCCCACTGGCCAACAGCTCTGGATCAATGCAGATGACCACAAAATTTTAGCACAAGACCAGCTTGTCTTGCCAGCTCTCCTATGTCAGGAAACAGCCAATTAAAAAAATAATTTTAATTGAAAGATGAAAATGAAAAAGAGAGACTATGGACTTCAGTGACACCAAATGATGGGGCAGGCATTAGAGCCAAGCTTACATGCTAGTGAGGGGTTCAATCAACCATTCAGAGAAACCAATTTCTTTTTGTCTTCATTAAATTTTTACCAGGAAGGAATAAGTATATTATAAAACCAAATACATAGGAACCACATTCTAAAGCCAAATAAATGAATCTCTCTAAGTTCCTCAGGAAAAGGTCACAGAATCCCAGAATGTTTTCAGTTGAAAGGGACTTTAAAGACCATTGTGTTCCAACCCCCCTGCCATGGCGGGGACACCTTCCACTAGACCAGGTTGCTCCAAGCCCCATCCAACCTGGCCTTGAGCAATTCCAGGGATGGTACAGTGCATGTCTTGAAACACAGCAGGTTCTGGAAACAGTCACCTCATTTACTTTAGAACAGTCAGGTTTTTGCCTCATTCTCCCTTTCCTGCTCTCAGGAGAGCCTACACGCACACCCACGTGGCAGGGAGAGGAGTGTGGTCTGAGATGTCCCAGCTGTCTAAAGGCACTTGGAACACAGGACAGCATTGGGTTTGTCCAGGTCTGGAAGAGGTCAGTGTTTGGTCCATCATCAGTGTTGAGTCAGCACTAGAGCAACACCCTAAACATTAAATCCCCTGCAGCCTTGTACCAGCTATGCCTCTCCAGTGTCCAGTGGCACAGAGATTGCTAAAAACAGCCGGGTCTGGTTCTGCCCAGGCCAGCCTCAGCAGGCAGGTGAACTGGCACATCCCTGTTCATGTGGAGGGTATCAGGGTCAGGGCACCAGGAACTCTCAGAGAGCAAGTCCTCTATGAAATAACAAATGAAGTGTGCATGTCAGCCTCTCCTAAAGCTTTTGTCCCAAGCATTCTACCAGAGCAGCTGACCTGGAACAGAATTCCCTTCCTGGCTATTTGATAAGGTCGACTTGACACAGAAAAGAAAAACTTCTGACTATGTCTGGCACGGCCCCAGCACAGGCAAGTGGAACAGAGCCATTTCATACAGCTGCACATAGGGAAATTGGGATAAGGCCAGCCATACATCTCCACATAACATTGTAAGACAAACCTTTGTGCTTATCACAGAAACAGACCCTAGGAACAGTACATGAGCATGAAAACAAAAGAGTAGACAACACCCACCCCACACTAAAAACCACCAATCCCAAAACACACTCCCCTTCTGCAGCACTCAAACTGAGAGAAGCCACCATTGCCCCAGTTCAGATAAAGGCAGCGTTGAAGGACAGGGTTTATTTCACACTTCCATGCCCCATCCCCAGAACCTGGGCATGGCAGATGTTCCTCACACCATCAGACCTCAGCACAGGCACACCCACACACTGCAGACACAGCAGGGCTCAGCAGCTTTCAGTGAACCCACACACAGAGCCAAGAGCAGGTATTCCAGTAAATCTACTCACAAATATCTTAAACCAGCAAAACCAGCACTTGTCAGCTTTGAACTGCTAACTCTGAAATGCACCTACAGAAACAATGCCACAAATCTGAAAGATACACAGAATCAGGCAATCTGGCTGTTTGGTCTCAGGCTGGTGGTACCACTGTTAGTACAATGAATAACTTGGTTATAAAGAAGAGCATCAGTCCACTTCCTTAGAAAATCTAAATTTTTTATTATACATACTGTATTACACTGAAAATACGTACCCAAAGACAGAATATTTTGAATTTACATCTGTACAAAAAAAACCAAACAAAAACCAATAGAAAACATACGGGCTATGCTATAGATGTGACATTTTACAAAATGACAGTTTTTGTTAAAGGCACCAGATGCCCAGAGGGCTCTGGCTTAACATTTTTTAGTCTTTTTTTTTTCCAGTCAGAACTTACTATGAAAATGTGATTCACTCTTAAACTGCATGATGTCAAAGTCTCAAGATTCTTTTATCTAGACAAGCAGTCTGCACTTTGATACAACTTAGTGAGAGAAGTGACCAATTTCACATGGAGATATCAAGCAACTACCAAAGGCTCCTCCCCACTGCATCCAGGATCCTATGGTATTGAACTGAAAGATTAAATGGCAAAGCCAGCACTGAAAATCAGGTTAACCCACAAAATACCAGCCCAATACTAGAGTGTTAACTGTACTAAGCCTAGATGGTTTGTATGGAGATAACCACAAAGCATTAGAGTAGCAAAAGAATGAACAGAAAGATGGAATCTGTGATCTCAGCATCCTTCTTGGGCTCCCTTTCTTTGTTACACTCATTTCACTCTTTCTGGTCCTCACAGCACACATGAAAGAAAATGGAGCCTTCAGAAACCTAGCACTTCACTATAGGACAAATTGTTGAAGAACCCTGGGTAAGATGAATGCGCTCTTTCTCCCCTAAAAACAAAGTCTGGACAGGAACAGGGAAATCACAAGCCACTTTCACTGCTTCTTTCTGCAGTATTTCACACTCAAATCCAAGAACCTAATTCATATCATGCCTAGGCTTGCACAGACAGCAGCTTCTCTACAAGCAAGGGCAAGAGAGACTGGGACATCCCCCTTGCAGCTCAAGCCCACAACTCTTAAGTTCTTAAGTCTGGGCTTGCTACTTCCTAAAACTTCATGCTTGGATAAAGGCATAAGGAAAGGAAAAAAACAAGCTTTAAGAAAACTCTGTATTACTTCTCTGGTCAACACAGTAAATCTGCAAGTCATTCTAGAGTAATGAAATGCTTTTGTTTAACCTTACACCTTTACCTGACAGCACACACTGAGCCTCACTGAGTAACTTCACATCCAAGTGACTGAGTATTCAAGACAAAAAATGTCAAGTTCCAAGGCCAGATTTTGTTCTGTATGTAACAATTCCAATATATTGGAATTTCAATATTGAAGTTTCCCTTTCTGATTTGTCTGGCATTATTCCTACTTCCAGAACACAGATTTGATTATTTAATTCACTGAACCAAATAACTCCATGTAGTTTTACTTCTCACTGTATCACTTTAACAATGTTCCAGAAACTTTCCCTTCTTTAGGCATTTAAACACTTTATAGATTCACAGATCAAGTTGAAGTAATCCTCTGGTATTGAAGGTCATAGAGTGACTTAAAAAAAAAATAATTTTGCATTGTTACATTGTCTCATCCTAATGAGTTCACAGAACTAAAAATATACTATAGTTCTACTTAAAATTTCCATTTATTGCCTATGACTGACTTTAGACAAACAGGCCTGGAGACCAACTGCATTATGCAGCAATTACAAACAGCAGCATGGTTAAGCTTCCTGCACACTACCGCACTCAAAGGACTCCACTGCATTCTAGAAGGGCTTCTTGGAGAGCAGAGGGACAGCTATCTCCACCCAAAGCACAGGTCTGAAATGCAGGCTTCTGTGGCCCCAGAGAGTTTAGTGAGGGACCACCATTAACCTCAAGTAAGCCAAAAGAGCCATCACAAGCAGCTCCTGACCACGACTGAACAGCACAGGTCTTGCATGAACAGTTTACAATGACAGTACGTGCCCATCAAGCCAGCCAGTTTTCTAAATGCTCATTCTTAACAGCTGTATCTGATATTTGCAGCTCATCTAGCAAGCGGGAACAGTTAAGACAGAATTACACACGTGCAGAAAACTGGTCATCACAAGGAAACTTCAAAATCTGAATGCAGACAACAAAAGGAATGTCACTTTTCTTTAAACCTTTCTTCTAAAAGATGAATACTTTCATATCCTGTCATTAGCCCTCACTGTGTAACACTCTAAAACCAAATAAGTTATAACCATAACACATTCTAGTAAACTCCTAAAAACTAAAGCTCACTACTCACCCTCACTTGTCAAGCTGTTTAAAAAGAAAAGTTGGAATCAAAATTGCAATCCGTTGTTTCTGAAATGGGTAATTCTGGGGAGGACAGCCCCGATGTGACAGTTACATGTGAGCAACTTTCACACTAAAACATGCACAACACTCTGTAACAGCAGCAGTTACCATCAAATACCCTGCCTGTTACAGGAGCTAGAACATTCTGTGTATTTGCTTAAATAAAGTTAAGAAATCTACACTTTTGGTCACATCTTAAAACACTGCAGAATACAGGGCATTTTTTAAAATATTATTTATAGTTACCCTGTCCTGTTGGGTAGTTTGATTGAAAAACAAAGATTAAAATACAATAAAAAAATTCCCCAATAAAAAAAAAGATTCTAATTAAACATCTAAATGTCTTTATTAGTATACAAGTGTACTATGGGATTTGGTCTGCTTTTTTTCAGAAAAGAGGAACAAAAAAAAAAAGCCTCATTTAGTCCTAAAAGTTCCACTTCAACATGAATCTTTAAGTCAGCCCAAGGTACCTCCTCAACACATCACCACTCTGCTACTCATCTTTGTATTTCTTCCTTCTAAGCAGCATTCCCAGCCAAGCACAGCTCCACACACAAGTACTGGCAGAAACCAGACACTGAATTCAAGACTCCTTCAAATGATGAAGCTAAGTGTCCCAAGAAGGAATCCTGACTAATGTACATAAATCCTCTCAGTAACTGCCAGCTTTGCTTGTAGCATTAAAGCCAGATTACACCAGTGGTATGAACACAGTTGTAAAGATAAAAATGTGCTTCTACTAGCAAGGGACAAGTACAAGGCACATTTATATGCCAGTATGATTGTGATCACATTAGCAATTAAACTGATAAAACTACACTGGTAAGAACCACAGCTACAGTCATTTAAAATTTTTTGGGTCAGGGTTTGGCAATCAAGCAGCTTTTGACTGCTCAACCAAACATACATTAATAGTGCCTCAAGACAACAAAACTACTTCTACTCAGATGTGTCTCAACCATTTCTAGGGCCATTTTTAAATTAAGCTCCAATTGGTTTTGAGATGCAGTTGTTTCCCTTCCTCCAGGTAAGTTATGCTGTGCAAAGGGTTAGTTATGCAAGAGCCATAGATCAACTTCTGCCCCAAGACTCCTATGGCAAGAAACTATCACGTCCTGGCAGCGACAAGCCACAGTTACTTTTATCATTTTGATGGCTTTTTTCCTTCAGAAAGTTATGATACTCAGTTTCTGTCTATCTCAAATCACGCCAAATAAAGATTAACTCATGCTGGGCGTGTACATTGACAATATGGAGAGTTAACAAGATGTAGGATATGGCGTAATTAAAGTGGTTAAGGCTTATGCTCCCCAGAAGGCCCCACGGGAAAGGCACAGCCGCAGGCTGGAGGGGTGGGAGGCAGTCAGGAGTGAGGAGAGTCATTGAGTGACAGCTGGGAGTGAGAGTGTGATTGGCTGGAGAAACATGCAGTGTAAGAGCAGGAAGCTGATTGGATGGTAGGACACACGGACAGCAGCATGGCAGCTGAGCCAGCCAATGGGCGCCTTCTTTCTGTTCTGTTAGGTCTCAGTTTGGTTTCAGTTATGTCAGGTTGAGATTAAAGGTATAACGGGGACCAGTTTTTACAATAAAGCCATCTCCTTCAGATGCATAAGGAGGTCCGTGTTGCTTTGCTCCCCACTGCTGGCTGGCCTAAACAGGGACCTATAAAGGTGGCTCAGGGTGCGCAGTCCGCTCTGGTACCAGCTCCCACTAGGTCAAGGAACCGGCCAGGCAGGATCCAGAGAGTTCAGGAAGGAACTTGGGCATTTAAAGTGTGTGCACCTCACCGAAAGGATGGGGAGACCAGTGGGAGAGAGTATGGGAGGTGGAATATCAGGGGAACAAAGCAGGAGTTTGGGCCAGGTCAGGCGGCTCCTACATCAGCAATCTATTAATATGGCTGATGTGAAACTAAGCACCCTGCTGGACTGGATGTCTAATCAAGTTAAAGATTTTCCCTTTAGTGGGCCCCTTTGATCAGAAACCTGGCAAGCAATAGGGCAGAGACTTTTTGATACCACCAGGGACGGCAATGCCGAAGCTTGCGGGCACCTCGCTACATGGGGGCCAATCGTGGCAGCCTTTAAAGGAAGCCATGCAAATGTCAGCCATTACACGACTTCAGAAGTTAATTCCCCCAAACCCTCAGCGCCACCAAACCATACACGACTCCAAGATGGGCCCAAACCCTGCTGAATTCCCTTATCCCGAGACCAACCCAAGCCCCATGGAACTGCCTTACCCTGATAAAATCCCTGCGTGGCTGGCCCTTTTGGCGCAGAATTCCCACATCACGAGCGGGTGGCAGACTCACTTCCGGCCCAAGAGGGCGATGCAGTAGTCCAGCGTTGGCAACAATGCTGGGAAGCCACCATGAAGGAGGGCAACTTGGCGGTCATTTCGACCTGCCCAGTAATAGATGCACCAAAACAACACACAGCAGACCAAAAGCTAGACTATAAAGACCTGAGGGTGCTAGTGAAAGAACAGAGCGTACCCTCCCATCGCGCCCTAAGCTACCTTGAGTCTCTCAGTACTGCGTACATCCTCACACCCCATGACTGAAAAAGCACAAGGAAAATTATTCTAACAGTGATGCAGTTTGCAGTCTGGCTAACTGATTACTGACAGCTGTGTACAGCCCAGCAGAAGCGCTGCAGGACAGAAATGCACCAGTTGCCATTGCGCAGCTGACTGGAGAGGGCCCCTTTGCACTCCCTGCAGCGCAGGCTACCCACATGATGGATGTGATACCATCACTCACCTAGCCCTGCAGCGACTCCCAGGGATAGGTATCAATTCTAATATGTCTTTTGCTAAGATTTTATAGGGTCCAGCAGATTTGTGCAGTTCCTGGATAGACTGCATGCCACGCTCTCCTGGCAAGTCAGCAATAATGAGGCCGGAGTTACACTGCTGCAGCAGCTCGCATTTACAAATGTGAACCAAGACTGTAGAAAAGCACTGCTTGCTGTTCATAACCCATGTACTTGTGATGTAGCAGATACGGTTAGAGCATGCCAAAACGTAGGAACTACTGCTCGTAATACTAACTCTCTGGCAGGGGCTTGAGCTGCGCACTTTCAGTTTTGGACACATATGCAGGGGGTCCTGGCTGGGTGGGGGTCAGGGCAGGCCTGGTGGCCACATGGACACTGCTCACCTTGCTGCAGGTGGCCTAGGGCCAGCCACAGGCACATCAGGGACTGCCAGCCTGTCAAGTACAGCAACGCCATTCACGAAGCGTGGTCCAGCAACAACAGCACGGCCAGCCCAGTGGCTGTCACCAGAACACTTGTCTCATACATCCACCCAGAAGCAGCAGTCAGGGCACGGGGCCACCAGCAGCAGAAGCAGCCAATGCTGCCATGCTGCACTCTTCTGGGGCACAGGGCCACCAGCAGTGAGCAGGTGGCTGCCCTGGCAGGGGCACTGCCATGCCACCTTTACAGCGAGCCCCAGCATTGCTGCTGCTAGCCTCCAGGACCTTGCACCTCTGCCTTGCCTCCTCAGAGGAGCAAACCTGCCTGGAGGCTGCAGGTTTCACTGAAACAAAGAGATGTTTCCTCTGATAGTTTTGGATTGGTTTGTTTGTGACAAAAAGATAAATGGTTCTTTCAAAGGAGTTGTTTATACATGTACATAGTTATAGTTATTTACAAGTTATTTATGACAAAGCCGATTGTTCTGTGTGTTATTACTGAAGATTTCTTTTAAGGATACGATAGGAAAGCCTTCCCAGTCTAGGTCTTAGCTCTGGCCAAGCTATGGCCTTGACTGGCAAGGAAAAGTATGCTATCAAAGCCAGGTGTTTCTGTACAAAAAAATGACTCACTGATTTAGCTTTGCAAAAGCTTGACCACATTCCTTTGAGGTAAACATGGAAGCCTTGTCCAGGAAAGGCCTTCCAAGTCCTCAGTGTGAAAAGAAGGCTCCTTGGTAGACCCTGGGTGATAGCAAAGCATATAGGCAGTTGTAAGCTTCACCTTGTTAATTTCATTCAAAATTGAATTATGTTCCTGTTAAGTGTTACTACTCACAACAGAGAAGCCTCAGTTACAGTTTTTGAAAAGTTGTAATAGTTATTATTATTGTCACTGTTACTAATGTCTTAGGAATGGCTTAGGTTTTTCCTAGTAGGTCTTCATTGCTTAATAAAAAAGAGGGGGGAGATGTAGGACATGGGATAATGATTATTAAAGTGGTTAAGGCTTATGCTCCCCAGAAGGCCCCATGGGAAAGGCACAGCTGCAGGCTGGAGGGGTGGAAATCAGCTGAGGGGTGAGAGGCAGTCAGGAGTGAGGAGAGAGTCACTGAGGGACAGTTGGAAGTGAGAGTGTGATCGGCTGGAGAAACGAGGACAGTGTATGAGCAGGAAGCTGACTGGATGATAGGACACGTGGACAGCAGCACTGCAGCTGAGCCAGCCAATGGGTGCCTTCTTTCTGTTCTTTTTGGTTTCAGTTATGTCAGGTTGAGATTAAAAGGTATAAAAAGGGGCTGATTTCTACAATAAAGTGATCTCCTTTGGATGCATAAGGGGGTCCGTGCCACTTCGTTCCCACTGCTAAAACAAAGCTACTCAATTTCATCCTATGACCCAAGCATAAATAAGCTAAACATCCACTGGGTACCCTTAGACACGGACATCTACCATCTGCAATAGTTATACTGCAGCTGAAATACAAAATCATCAAGTACCGACCTGTGGTTCTTCAAACATCCATTCTTACGACAGAACTTATGTTGCCAAAGAAAATGATTTTATAATAAAGATCTGTGCCCTCAGTTAACAGTAAACCGTGAGTGACTGTGCAGTAGTCTTCTCTTCTGGTACTTAGCAGTAAACTGCTCCCATCTGTAACCTTTCAGCTGTGATCTCCTTTTTCAGCATCCTGAACAAAAAACACACCAACAATGTCTCCCCCCCTCCCCCAAGATCATCTTTCCCTCTCCCAAGATTAATAAAAAAAATTAAGTGAGTTTGACACCATCAAACACTTCTGTGTTCACTGAGCTCAGTTTGGTTGAAGAGCACAGCTTCTACTCTGGAGGGTAATAAGAAATGTACACATGAATGCCATTTTGTACAGTTGACATACTCTATGAGCTGGTTGACTCTAAACTTGATTTGGTCCAATCTGCTGCTGCTGCATCTCTTAGGAAACATTAGTTATAGGTTTGTACTTCTTGAATCTGGTCCATTCACCAGTAGCATAGTTCATTTCAAAGACTGTGTCAACCAACATAGTGGTGCTGCCCGTGCCATCTGCCTTTGGTAAATCTTCTGTATGTTCACTAAGTTTAATTTGGATGATGTCACCTTGCTCTTGGCAGGGATTCTCTGCAGAAACAAGGAGAGAAACAGTTAGACATTTCAACAGTACATTAGTATATACAGCAGTATATTAGACAAGATAGGGGGTTCTTATGCTTAAAAAACCCCAAAAACATGAAACACAAACAACAACTCTCAAACCCAAAGCTGAGCAAACCACAGACAAAGATTTTCCTCCCTCCACACTCCTGAGACCAAGTTTTAAAAATAACAAAATCAGACCCCAAAAGACGAAGCTCAAGGCTAACATAATTGGAAGAACAATAAAAGAGGGAGTAAAGCCTGCCAGTGTCATTGTTCTCTACCTCAAGAATCAGAAGAGATTATTATATTTAAATGGAGTTGGTAAACTTGAACTACCAGAGTTACTTTATTTGGGAGACATTTTGTAGTTAAATGCCTCAAGAATTTTTAGCCATTAAGGAAGCCCAAAAAACTTCACTGAAACTGCTTGTCCCAGACTCAGGTCCATGCCAGTAGAAGTTTAAATGTTACACTTCAAGATACTGGAATGATGTTCAAGAATATCAGCTGGCAGTTATTTATCCAACCTTCAGAAGGTGCTGACATTATTACTAAAGGAATTCATATTAATATTTACTTCACTATATATGTATATGTGAACCTGTATCACACACACTTCCAAAATAATATTTTACCTTATGTTAGAAAAAGCTGTCTGTGTAGGTATTAAAGTAGAGCCTCCTAGTAGCTGTACAATTTGAAGTAGCATTGAGCACTGAAAACACCATTGTTAGTGCAAAATGCATCAAACTTAAAGCTCAGGGATCACCACAGTAACTCTGCTCTAGTCATTCTCACCAGTGTATTGCATTACTTCAAATGCATGAGCCACACTTAGGCTGCAGGACTCTGGGTAAGAGCCCCCAAATACCAAATTAGAAACCAGAGCTAGTGCAGATGCTGGAGTTCACTTAAGGACTCTTTAAGCCCCTTCTCATCTTACATCCAATAATCTTCTAGGTAAAACAGCTTTGGTCTATCAAGGCCAATATATAACAGGATCCAGCTATGAGACAGCTTATCTCCCTGTGATTCACAGCACCAGTTGTTATCTAAAGTCTCTGAGATAACAGTTGCCAGATTCTAAAGCAAGGAATTAGCAAAGAGGTTCTGTACTAGCCAACTGGTACATCAACTGGCCACAAAAGAATTTACATTCACTGGTCCTCTAGGCAGAGCAGTAGCACCCAACCACTTTGTTCACAGCTTAGCAGCTGCCTCGTTTCTCTTCAACCCTAAGCCCTGATTCTACAGTGAGTTCAGTTATATTGTGGTCAGCAGCTTTTCTGACAGACCAGTTGACTTAGTGGAAATGGACCCTAAAGACCCATTTCCAGGTAGTTAGAACTATAATTCATCAAAGTATGTAGAGTCCAGTGTAAAGCAGAGTCCAACACATACAGACAAAGCTGAAGCACACTCATATGCACATTTAAAAATGCTGGGCTGTATTTCACATTTGTGTGTTCAGAAGCAAGTTAAATTAGTATCAATACATGCCTCTGGATCCTGCCATGAATCCAAGTATAAGAGCCTTTTCTGGCCTTGTAACTTTGTTTGCAGTCTTGAACATTTCCTGTGCAGCATACATTTGCTCCCTCTGTAACAAACACAATAAATTTCAATTCAGTTGAGAAAAACTCTGCCAAGAGAGAGCACATTAATATCCACAGATGTGCATAAAAGCAAAAGGTGAAAGTTTGTAGGACCTACAAAAAGTTAACAAAAAAGGCATCCTAACCTAAGGCTTCCCTCTGCAACAGTTACCTAACATGCACAGCAGTGACAATTGAACTCTGGACATTGAGAAATGCATCCCACCTTCAAATAGTTACAGAAACATGTGAGAGGCTTAATGGGCTTAATGCTTATTATCCATTGTGTGTCCTTTTTAGGGAAAAAGGAAAATAATCCAATGCTTTCTCTACAATCTAACAAACCCAGGCTTACAATAATTTCAGAGGATTTATTTTCCTTTAATAAATGCAGTAGAGCTACTGAAAAGAAGAAGTCACCCAAGCTTGCTAAAGTTCACATCTTGCAAGCCAGGCTTACAGACGTGCTTAGCAAAGTCTTCTGATCATTTGCACCTTGAACTGAACTCCAAGCATGCACATAATACATACCAAACCAGGTATATATGCACCAGGAACAGGAAGCTTCAAGATATATCCCCACTCTCAGGCTTTGAAAAATGTGTAATGGGGGGATGACGTGGATCAGAAATAAAATCTTTTACCTTAAAATAATCTATTTATGTATTTTCTCCTACTACAGCTACATCAGGACAATTTTAAACAATTTATATTATGTGCAATTGGTTGGGCAATTTCTGCTGGAAATACACCTTTCTCCCAAAATTCTTTATAATGAGCAATACATTATTTTACATAACAAACAGCATTAAGTAATGACATCTCACCGCAACATTAACACTGCACAACTAAAAATGTTGTGAATAACATTAAGACAGCAGTGCTAAGCCACAAAGTGTTTATGTAATCTTTGGTTATAAAAAAAACAGCCTCAACCACTCCATAATCCAAAGGCCAAGAAATGCCAACATATAAATGAGATGCAATCCACATCAAAACCATCAGTCAAAAGGAATCTGTTTTTACTTACTGTGAGAGAGAGGCTTTTCTTCGGTGGTGGCTGTTGCTGAGTTTGGGGGGCCACTTGTGGTGCCTGTGCCGCAGGGGAGATGGCAGGAGGTGTGGTGGGTGTTAGGGGTGAGGTAGGTGTAGCTGCAGGGGGATTAGAGTTGCTGTTGTACATGGGTGTTCTTTGTTTGAACTGTGCAGGAAGAGTTGTAGTAGCATTTGGAGCTGCAGGCTCTTCTGTCTGTCTGTTGGTCTGCAAGGCCTCTCGTGCAGAGCCAGCTGCAAAAGCCAGTCAGGATAGTTAAAACATTATTATCCACAAATAGGGATTAGCATCACCAGTGACCTTCAAAGAAAGTCAAAATCTCTGATGATTCCATTTTAGCACCACGATTCAATATGCCATCTAATATCCATATGAAAAAGCTAAGAGCTAATGCTCTTTCCACTCAATTATCTTTAGAAATCATTAGACAGAGTAACTAGCTGTTCCATATGGATACACTATATTTAGCATAAAATTTGATGTTTAATCAATATCCAATTTATTAAACTGGAACTTCAATACTTACTTTTCAGTTTATATAGCTCTAACAGCTGTACTCTGATACTACCAGGATTGTTGCTATACTATTACAAAGAGCAGGTAAAAAATTATTTCATCAGTTTTTACCTAATGTAGCGGCAGCTTTCAAAGGAAGTGCCATTAAGATACTGAAAATACAAATATATTTTAACAGATGTCATAATTAAACACAGCCTTCACAAGTCACTCGTTATTTAAACGCTAACTGCTAGAAGTTAAAACCCCGCGAGGCTTAACTGTTCTTTCTCAAAGCTGATCCATTCACCTGCAATAAGGAAGTTCTACTATTCCAAACCTGGCTACAGTTGGAGGAAACTCACGAAATCACAGCAGCTTGACCATACAAGCTACCATCTGTCCAGCCAGTGGTAATTACCCAGTGGACACTCTAACTACGTTCTTTTGCAGCTCTTGGACACAGGCACAGCTGCTCAAGCAGCCTTCACAAACCTCATGAGCTTTAAGCTGACCTGTTTACCCTGTGTTCACAGAAGACTACAGGCAGATACAGATCACAGCTACACTGATGCCCTTGAGAGAAGATTTTAGGAAATGAAACTTGTATGGTTCTCCACCTTGGCACAGACATGGCAATGGTTTTAGCAATACTGCTATTTTTCAGTAGATGTGGAACAATTGAGAGGATAAACATTTGCAACTACGAGTTATTCCTTATTCTTGTACAAGTTCCATTATTGGCTTTGTCTCTTGTCAGAATAACTGACCTTCATAAAGTAATGTCTTAATTATGCAACTTCAGATTATATGAGGCCAAATCTGTGGATCTTCTGTGTGCATCTTATATCAAACAAACAGTTTTATGTTCCTGTTCCCTAAGAAAAGCTTAATACTCCTAAAGGAAAGAGCACAGAATAGAGAATTTTAAACTAGACTTTTCCTGTTGCTGAACACAATGCCAACACTCTGGAAAACAGTACTACAGCTGCTGACACACTGCTGTGTTCTTGGCTGCATTCTTTCTGGAGATGCCAATTTTCTGCCACAGAAAGATGTGCATAGACCTTCAGAGAGATTCTGAATTGTTTTGAGGCCAAATGAAATGACTGGGTCTTGCATCTATGCAGTTTTCTGTAGTGCCCAAAATGCCACAGCTCACAAGTAAAAATAATATATGAAACTGAAATGTTGGTTCTCTGTTAATGGGCCGATCTGACAACGAATCCCAGCCATGCACATCTGTTAGCACAAATTGATGCATTCCTTTAAAGACTTCACACACAGCAGGGAAGGAAAAATAAAATCAAGCTGGTTAAAATAAAACTGTAGGAAAAAAGGACTTGTACAAACTGTTTTTTACTATTGGCAATTTTCTAGAATTGAAAATAACAGCACTTTTCAAAATCAGTAAATCAGCTATTATCTTTTTCGTTATACAAAGGTAGAAGAAAAATGGATGGTTTAATCCCAAACTGTGTGAAAGGTAATATGTACTTGCCTCTAGAAATAAAAACTGATTTCTGAAAGCAACTGTTTTGTATGTGCTAGTATGTGTGTGGTGGAATATATACTTTAGACTTATATTGATTACTCTTTGGGGATTACAAAGGCTGGATTTTCTATTACTGTGTAAAAAAAAAATCAGGAAATTGTTTCACTTACTTGACTTACCTAGCAGTCACCCTAAAAATTTAGGGCCAACAATTATTTTCTTTACTTAGGTTAAATGATATGTCTGGATTCCCCAAACTCAAAGGCTAGAGTCTTGCAATGGATTTTATATTGCTAAGGTGGAGTTTCACTGAAGTTGAGGGACAGCAGGTTTGTAAATAAAAGAGCAGCCAGACAGTAAAACTGTACAGAGTTACAGTTATCAGATCCCAAGAGCAAGGAAGTGTCTGTTACCTGGCTGTGTTTCAGAGCTTGGGATGTAGGAGGAAGACGGCACCACACTGGGGGTAGCAGGTAAATAACTTGTAGAAGGTAGTGCAGGCTCATTGTTCAACGAGCCAAGTTTCTACAGGACAGAAAAGAAAGTATTAAAGCCTTACTGCAAGTATTCATGGGCTGTTTCTGCATTTTAAATACAACTTCAACATTAGTTTTACTAAGATATTCCTTTTGGGAACTTAACTGCAAACTCCTCTGTTAGGAGTCCTACCTAACAACCTGTTCAACACTGACTTTCCACTTCAAACATTAGAAATTTGTGCAGATGGCACTTTATGAAGAATTGCACTCTAGGACTAAGTGATCTGCCAGAGGAAACATGCTCTTCACCACTAGCAAGCAGAACCACGTTCATCCATGGGCATAAGGCCTACTAGGCTATCACCCAGGAGAACACAAAGGCCTCTGGGGCATAGGCAAGCAGAAGGCAGCAGTAACAGCACAGGCAAAAACGCCATTCCCACTGAAACAGGCAGCCAACACCAACATGACTGATGCCGTCTAGGATGATGAGGCTACAGAAAAAGGCTCATTTTGTACTTAATTGTACATGATACTGCATACAGAGTGTAAAAACAGCAACATGGTTGATGATTTCACTGCCTGATCCAGCCTTTGAACATAAGGGGGTGAGAGAGGAAAGAAGTTTTGGGGGGAGGAAGTCTAACACGAATCATTTAAGGCAGCCCTACTATATAAAACATGGACATTCTGTAAAATGTGGAACTTGCTAAAACAAAGATTCTCTTAGCACTCTGCAGAAGAGAGGCAATGACCTTCACTCCTGACTGGCCTACCACAATATGCCTGTATGTTGGACTTGGCTTGTTACACAAGCCCAACAGACAGTTTCTCACTCAAAAGCAAGGGCAGGACATAACATTCTTGTAGAACCTACATCTTGACTGAGGACACAAAGCTGCACCATAGTTTCTAACATGCTCTATCTGAAATAGGAGGAAAAAGGCCTACACATGACAGGTTCTTCTTCTTCCTGACTGAATGACTTCTAGCAATAGGTTTGCTTTTTTTTTGGTGAAAATATAATGGAATTTTTAAAAAATTATGTAAAAATTTTTACATAAAGAGACATGTTTCAACAAGTGAGTAAAATACCATTACAGTGTTTGAGTAGTTTAGAATAGCACATGTCAAGACTATTTTTCCTTTTTTTTTTTTTTTTTGACTGGTTGGTTTTTGTTTAACTGATTTTGCTTTGGTTTTACCTGTGTAGATACAAGGCCAGCAGCATAATCTGGGGTAGCATTTTCTACTACTGTTTCTTCTTTGGCTTGCTTTTCCACAACTTCTGTATCTATTGCATAAAAACACAAGTGAGTCCAAACATTTTTTCAGAAATACTGAATATACTTTTTAAACAAAGATATAAAAATTCATTTCTCAAAGTATGCTAAAACATGCCTGAAGAGGTATTTGCTGAAATAGATACAGTAATCTCCAAACACAGTTTTATAGTGAACCAAATAATGAACCGAACAATAATGTACAGAATACAGTAACTGAGTAATCTGATACTAGAAAGCATGAAAGCCCAAGCAACATTTTAATTGAAATTATGGTTTTCTTCTGAGATAGTATTCTGTTTCTGTAATAAACCCAAAAAATTGTTTTAGGACAAATATGCTGCATAGTATATCTTCTTGATATGGTTAAGTAGGGCACAACCCTGTCACTTGCCTTAAAAGCAGTGTATCAGATATTATTCACTTGCTAAGATCTCTCAGTCAACATTTTGAACAGTGCTATAAATTTTTTCAACATTACTTTCACCTAATTTACATGACCATACAGCCAGTAGAAGTGAGCAGATGAAAATAACTCAGAAAAATTCCAGCACTGAAGCCACTCACACACCTATGGGCTGCCCAAAGCACAACTGATTAGCTCAATCCTTTCACATGACTGAATTAGATTACCTAGGCCAAGGCAATACAAGTAAGAGCACTGAAACAAATGAAAATCCTCCTTTAAAACCTATTTGGGCTGCTTGGTATCACATCCCTTAATTTTTTAAAGTTTAGCTCAGGCTAAGCTTTAGCAAATTAAGCACAAAATGGTACTACAAATTTTGATCCTATCTGCAGGTGCACTGACAGCCTGTGTAATAGAATGCTGTACCAACCTAATGTCTTTCTTCTTCTCTTTGCTTCACGGCCAGCACCTACCATATCCAGCTCAGAGATATCTAGAAGCTAAAAAGAAAGACCACAGAGAACTTAATAATCATTGTTAAATGCATGTAGTCTATCTCTAAATATCATCCTCAGTTTTTTTTTCCTTTAATATATTCATTCAAAGCAGCAGCAGAAATTCACTTTAGGTGAGAGAAGAGGCCTGAGCAGAAAAACAAGGAGTGCACCTACCTTTACTCCTCTTTCTTTGCGCAAAGGTGTTCTTGACGGAGGAATAGGAGTTCTGTTTCCAGAAGGACTAAAAACACTGGGAGCTGAAGTACTCCTGAACGGAGCTTGTTTTGGTATTCCTTTGAGTGGTGCTTAGGGAAGAGCAAAAAAAGCAACAACTGAAATATGTGTTTAACTGGTTATGGAAAATGCTGTAATGAGTTCTTCAGCTCTTCCCCTTCTTAATGCATATACCACTTGCCCTTTAAATTAAAAAGTTTATTATAAACATTAATATTATAATTTGGAATTTGCTATAACACTACATGTCTCTCAAAGGTCAGATTAGGTTTTACTTTTCAAAAAGGGAATAAGGGCCAAACTCTGACCAATGCCTGCAACCCCATTCTACATGAAGTAATCAAACAGGTGCACTGCTACCAAAGTCTGCTTTCCTATACACACAGAAGCTTCCCTTGCTTGAAAAGATAAACTCTGAACATGTAAAACAGTATAGGACATAAATCTTTTGAATCCAATTATTGACAAAGTTGCTCTTTGATTTTCACAATCAAATTACTTGATAAAACTGTATTTAACCAAAAATCTTAGCCCAGCTTCTGCAGGGCTAAGGGCTCATGATGTACTGCAAAGGTAAGTCACTGCCTCACACAGGGGTGTGAAAATCTAGAGCTGCTGTTTGCACAAGGAGGAAGACCAGCCTGGGTCTATAGTGCAAACAGAACACCTGCTGTCTCAATACTCAGCAGCATCAGCTACACCTGTAAGCATCTGTTTCCTCCCACCTCTGTGATGCTGCCCCTCTACTTCACACTTAATGCTACCACTAAACACAGCAATCTTTTAACTATTAAAAGATATGGGATTCATATACAGATCTGTCAGGTTTTTGAGCTTCCTGACAATCTCATCATGCTCTGTAAATAGAAGATGAACAGAGAACTTCAGTTTGAGCTTACAGACTCTGTATTCCTCTAAGTGTTACACTGAAAATGTTTTCACCATAGGACAATGCTCTGACCCATGTGAGCACCTTTCAGCAGAGCAAACCTCAGCAGGTCCCCAACTCCTTGTCTAGAGGCCAACTGGCTCTAAAGGCCAGGTTCTAAGAACTGGCTTTAGTCATTCAAAAGCAACACAGAATGCCAAGAACTAACAGTCCTTTTCTATAATGGAAAATTTTTTAGCTCAAATTACAACTAGACCTTTTGCATTTTGTACTTGAACACAAGGCCAAACTTCAGCCCTCAAAGCCGTGTCTTAAACAACATTGACACAAAGTACTTCAAAGTACTTCATAGTACATCCAGCCACAACACTAAGAAATCACTCAAAGGTTCACACCTCAGCATCGCTGGTGGCCAGGAACGTTATTCCTGTGCAGTGACTTAAGAGTATGTAACTAATTTTAAACCCTCTTGTCACACCTTATTTGAAAGATTCAAGCAGTTCAGGAACTTCAGCAAACAGCTGAAATGCACTAATACAAAGATGAAGGATCATTCTACAGGTTTGCCATGCAGAATTCACTGCTCAGCCTTGGCTGGAGAGAGCACACCGTCCCCTCTTCTTTCTCCAGACAGAATTATACAAATACAAAGTAGTTTCAGTCTACTTCAGAGCATTTCAAAGAGCACAGCAGACTACTGTGATCCACTCTGCTTTCTTTTGGAGCAACATGGCTTAGTCAGGAGTTATTCCTGGAGTGATGCAAATTAAATTCCTATCAAAGTCTATAGGCATGATCTAGCTGCATACACTTTAGAAGCATGGCAGATATACTTGCTATTTGAAAAACCCCACACACTGTTGTTCTTTCTGACAAGACATGTCAGAAATATTTAAGTATCAGGAGAGAGGGAGGCAGAAAGGGAGAAATCCTTTGCTTCAAAAAATATTTAAGCTTTTGTGAAAAACAGATGGCAATTCTATTCTTCATCAAGGCTACTTTATCAGGTTTTCTGAGAACTGATGAAAGTGAGCCATACTTGTTGTATCTATCTTCTTGACCAGTCCCCTGCCTTTGGCATGGAAAGGCACTCCTGCAGTCTTCTTGAGCTGCTGCGCAGTTTCTGTTGCTAAAAGGAAAAATGCCTTTAGTTATTACAGAACCTGTGCTGAAAATATATAACACAATGCTTTTTACATATAATGTTATTAAGTAATACATAGAGATAGGAATACCAACAAAGAAATGATTGTATTTTAATTAAAACCCAAGTCATTTATGTGAAGTAAACATAGTATTTGGAGAAAATGTGAAATCAGTACGACTATGCAATGGACAAGGTGGCCTAAGCTAAAAGAAATTACCAGAAAAGGCAATTTACTCAGTAGAAATTTAAATAATTTTTAAAAGTTATATGACACATTATGAAAAGTTACAAATTTTGTATTTAACCAGACCAATTCAAGTTACATGCAAGAAAGCAGCAAGCTGCTGCAACAGAACAGGAGCTGCTGCAAACTATTTTAAGATCACTTAGTTCAACCAGCTACCAATACATACATGTACACATGTGTTGCCTTTTGTTAAGAGAAAACCCTCTTGGTTTTTACACCCTATACAGCCACACTGAGTTAAAGAAAGCATTAATTAGCAGCCCTTGCTCTCTGCTCCAAAAGCACATGGCAAAATAAAACTGTCCTCATTTTACTTTTCCTTCAGGAGTTTTAACCAAAGATATCCTCAGAGGTCTTCCCAACTGGCTGTTACACATACCCAGGAGAGGACCTATCTGTGCTTTATGAAGCTACAGCTCTTTGTATGCCTTGAAATGTGAACAGCATTTAAATCAATACCAGCATTTTAATGCAATCCTGGCTGGAATGACTTGCACCTGCTCTTCCACACATCAGTCCATCCTCATCCAGGAAAGCTCTTGTAATACAACATTTTAATGTGTATCACAATTCAGGAGAATAAGACTGAATATACTGAACATAAATTGTCCCCTTACCATTTAATTTGTACACAATCTTAATGCTATACTTACACTTCTGCAAGAGTTCAGCTCTGAGAGTGGCACTTTTAGGTTTCCTTTTCAGCTGGAAATGTTTCACTGGGGGAGTAAGTGGCCCAGCTAGTGTTGTCAAGGCATTTTTGTTTAAGTATTGGCATTCCAACGGCAACATAGCTGAGGTTTCACATTCACTTACTGCACAAAGAGTTAACACAGTACACAGGGGTATTAGCACCTCTTTGACAGCTAATGACAAAACATTTTTCAACTAGGCTGTACAGGTAGTTTTAAATTTTAGATTACTTGTATAAACACCAGGAGTAATTTAGTTCCAATTATTACACAATATATAACCACTTCTTAGTATGTTTGTTTTTCCCATTAGCTTCATAAAATCTTCCATTTTAATTATACCTAGTCAAATTATAGGTATCTTAAATATGCTGCTATTGTCAAAAGAAAAAAAAAATTGAATTCTCAGGTTCCTTAAAAATTACACATGAAAACCAAACTATTGAAAGAAAATCCAAATCACAAATGTGGACAGACAAAAGATCATTAATTTATAGAAAGAAAACAAAGTATTTCCACCTCCAAGTCATTTAATTGTTGTTCTGCTGCAATCTCCAGCCCGGAGACTGTGTCTGTCCATGGATGCCCGAGGGCTTTTTCTAGACAATGTGCTAAAATAAACCCACTGGAGTAGGAGTAGTTTTGCATCACCATTTACTGTCTGAAGCAGCAACTGTGCAAGTGCCTGACCCCATATTTTCAGCTGCTGGGCAATCTGTAGCTGCTTGGCCATCAGCAGCACAACTCTTCCTGAGATCAGCCTCCCTCCAGCACCTATCACCTGCTGTCCAGACACTCCCAGCAGAGGCAGCCCCTGCCCAGGACAGTGGTGGTGCTTCCACACAAGACAGAGACTTGCTGTTGTCTTGAGTACCACAAATGAGAGACAGAGCAACACAGAAAAAAGCCTTTACTGACTAAGCTGCAGCACAGCCTGTGATATTTATGCATCCACACAACTTTTGTGCTGCCCTTCACACTCCAGGCAATAACTGACATTAAATTCTGATGATACGTGAAAAAATAATTTAAGAAGCTACCATTCCTCAAATACCACAGTTCCCAGTCCAGTAACATTCCAGGTCATGAACTGTGGTAGTTCAGAGACAAGACAGTGCTTGTTCTTGTATCTCTACTTTAAGACAGCAAGGCTGCCTGTGAAATGACAGGTTATTCCTAAAAAAAGGCACCACATTCCTGCAATTTTCACCAACAGAAATGGCTTACCTTTCTCTCTAAGCTCTCCTAAAATATCTTGAACATTGGGATTCTGTTCTTCAAGATCAAGGTTAAGGGAGCCAGTATCTGGAAAGGATTTTAAAATATCAGCTACCATTAAGACCCAGGGGTCTGAATCCAAGGTAGCGAGCTGGATAATTTCAGTCAGTGCCCCTTTCATCTAACAAAAAAAGAAAAAGAAAATCAACCAATTGGAAACAGTTTAAAACAGGTTATAGTTGGATTTATTTTAAAAAGATACAAACATGCACAATGTTTTACTACTGGGGGAGGGAAGAGGGAGACTGTTTCCACACAGTTATACATTAACTCTAGAACAAAGCAAAGAATGAACCAAGGCAATTTTTTTAAACTGCTTTCAGCCAATCTAACCCAAGTTTGTTTTGAGCTTTTGGCAGCTCAAAACTTTGTTTAGCACTGGGCATTTTCAAAAGCAGCAGCCAAATTTTTACATTACTGTCTCTCCTGTTTTACATTCATACTCCCTGTGGACCCACCCCTTCTATTCAGTGATGGGAATATGCAAATCCAATGCAAGTTATTTAGAACAGGCATCTAAATGAAGATGTGCCCCTTGCCAGCCTACAGCATAATTACACAGATTGTATCTGCATCATAATTGTCTTCAAAATATTACTTAAGCTGAGGCCAAAATAACCTAATCAATACTGTATTGTTTGACATAATACATAATTTTATGGGAAGTAAACATAGCTCTCTTAACATGCCACAAGCAACAAGATTTTCTATCTACCCAAAGTTTCTACAGTCAGAAAAAAAGCAATTTTTCTATTTTGAAAAATGCAAAAAAATAAATGAAATAAATTTTAAGTTTCATTGTAACAGTATTTTTTAAATTACTGACAAACATATCTGTTGGCACTATGACATGAAAATCAAGGTGACTACAGTCAGGGGTTTACTTCATTCACAAGTATAAACCCCCAAAGACTGAACTTTCTTTTTTTCTAAGTACATTTTCATGTAAGCATGACAGCACTAGCTTCAGTGAACTAAGATGTTTGAGATACTCTGTGTGTCTAACAAGTCACAGAACACAACAGTAAAATCACTTAAAGTAGTTTACCATACTCTATCTGCATTGCATTAACACTGAAGAATGTACAAGCAAGTATAAGGAAATACATTAATTTTGCTTTTTCACCACCCATTGTGGCACATATAGCTCAGTTACAGTCATCATGTTTCTGAACACAGGAAAACAAGAGACTCATCTTCACCTTCATGCTGTTTCTTTCCCTTTATTTAAAGCAATCTTCTATGAAAAGGTTTAATAAAATAAACTTACTCTACGCATACCACTCTAAATAAAAGAAATAAAACTTAAATTTCTGCTACCCATTCCTCTCCCATCCACTTTTAAAGCTCAGAGGCAAACAAACATTGACATTTCTCAAGTCCTTTCATCTGCACAATGTTATTGCCCTCTCACTTTGGAAGGGTTTACAAGTCCACTCCAGAGCCAGTTTGTCCTTTACCCCCTGCATGTTTTAGGGCTCACACATTATGTGCTTGTGAAACAAACTGCATCAGTCCATCTGACCCAAAATCAGCACCCTCTGTAGCTTTAAGCTCAACCAGCTCCTTGGAGTGACTGACTGCAGTCACACAAACACCAGAACCACAAAGAGGGGAGCAGGAAGAAGACACTACATGGGCCAGTTCCCATCTTAGCAGTGCCATTGATTTGCTTTGGATTAAACTGAGCACATAGCCAGGAGCACACACTGTTTAATGTGCTGTCAAATTTAACCAACTCTTACCCAGTGGAAAGAATCCATTTCTGAGGTTCTAGTCTTTGCTGGTTCTCCATTGTTCATTTATTCCTCAGTAAACATAACCTCACCAGAATCTCCACACACTCGGCCACCTCTCCATTCTAACCCTAAACTCCTTAACAAAAGTCACTTCTACAGTGGATAAGGATGACTGTGAACACTATCAAAGCAAAGTCTTTTGTCCTTTTATCGAGCCTAAAGGAATCAAGGTACTGATTTACGCAAAACACATGAAACATACCAGAAGAGCTGATGAATTCATAGCTTTCACATGCTTTTCTGTGGACACCACTAACGCAGGTAAGTGTACAGAATGTCATTTCCTTCATCAAAGCAAAGTCAGAGGAAAATTGTCTCTTGCATCCTCACAATTTACCCTTCATAGCTACTCCACAAAACTCCTATTTGTACCAAAAATTCACAGAGCTACATGCCTATACTATGAATGTTCCTGTAGAACTCTGGCCTGGGCATGTTGCATCCCTTCTGCTCCCAGGCTTAAAGTTCAGGCAGCCTATTTATGCCAAAACCCACTGCTTAACAAGCTTTTGGTTCCTTCAAGAAAGGAGCCCAGAAACAATTTGTTTGCCTTGCATGGGGCAAATAACATGATCACAAGGCCTCGTGACAGAAAGAACATGGTGAAATAACAGTCACCATCACACACAGGGAAGCAAAGCACACTAACAAGTGCTGTGAGCTAACTAGAGACCTTGCCTGAATATGGCTTTGCATTTAACAAGCCTGGATTCAAGTTTTGACTCAGGTTTGTCTTCAAATGGCAATTTAAATACATGTTCCCACCTCACTGTTCAACTGGCAGCTGAAAAGAAACATTTATGGTTTGAGAATGCATGAAATGCAGCTCATCAGGGAATGCTACATGCAGTTTTCCTGTTACTTTACAGGGCACAGCCATAATCCCTAATTCTTAATTGCCTATGATTGCAACACTGGGTCATTAAGACTCCCATCAGATCCAACCAGCATCTTGCTAAGCATGAATGTCAAGATGTGATGTAACATGTTCCAGTGTCTTTCTCATCTAAAACGTAACAATCTTAAGTATTTTTATCAGCTTGCTAGCACACAAGAAAAAGCATAGGCCACAACTAGAAACATCTAGCAAGCAGGGATCAGGCAGGATGGGAAGTGTCTGGGAACACAGGCAGATTAATAATGGCTGTGCACAAAGGACAAACAGGACTGTGGGAAGGTATTTAAAGGGAAGCGTTACAAGTAACACACAAGGTGACAACTCCAAGATGACTATTTGCAAATATTTCACATTTATTTGCTTTGTATTCTGCCTAAATTAATGTGTGTGACAATACTTTCAGGCAACTGTATCAACAGTTGGCTAATAAACCAAATGAAGCTTTAATCTTTCTGAGGCTATAGGAAAAAATGGTATTTAATAGGTAGCTGCATTATCATTATAGAATATTTTCATTAAACTAAAAGCATTGGATTGAAAACACAGTATTAATATTTACACCATACAGACCCAGGATGGGTCAATACCACTATTGTATGTGGTTTGCATTTTAATAATGAAAAAGAGCTGAAGTGGCCAAGAGAATGATTGGATTAAAATATACCATTTTACATCACAGAATAATTATGAACTCTAAGTGCAGGCCAGAAAGGTGCACATCAGTCTGTGTGCTCTCACTACAGAGGGAAATGCAAGTGTCATGTCACCTCTTACTCCTTTGCAGCCATACTCCTCAATCCCCACTTCCCTGCAGAGATGGCTCCTGGTGCACATAAGCCAGTACACAGAAACAGTTTTGATTTCTACTCTAATAAACAGGCAGGTCCCTGCTGGGATAGGGATCCTCCTCTCAAGACAGTTCAGAGAGCACAGAAGCACAGTCCTTGTTCCAGACTTGGTTGTAACATCACAGTCAACCCTGAACAAATAAATACTGGCATAAAAAGAAAGCTTGCACTTGCCATTGTGAATCAGGTTAACAAGAATATAATATGCAAAATAAACAGAAATAACAGTTCTGCCAAATTCACAACTGAAACTCTGGTCAGCACTACGCTGAGCTTTGGGCATCATTTCAAATAAGTGCAATTATCTAGAAAAAAATTAGCAGATGAAAAGCCATAAGATTTAAGAGTTTGCAAGCTCTTCCCAGAGAATTACAGTGGGAAAGGAATTTTTGATAACTGCCTATAAGACACAATTTAAAATGAAAATGAAAGCCAATTATTCTTATTAGTCAGCAGGAACAAACATGCAGTAATGAGGTTCACAGCATGATAAAAAATTAGTTTTATTACCTGTCCCACAAGAGTATTATGAGAATTAAGTCACTTATATCTATATAGTATTTGGAGTGTTGAATGAAAACATTAGGAAAATTGAAAGACATTACATCTGAGTATAAATCCACTTAAGTGAAGCCTTCAAGAGGGCTCACTGAAGATTCACTTGTCTAGACTGATGCTTTCACACAGATTTAGAAAGGACCAGGAGCAATTAAATCCCTTCTAAACCAACTACCACCAGTTTCCTTGATTCCCACATTGCTTTTTACTCAAATGTCTGCTCCCAAATGGTTTCTGTGTTATTCTAAGCTTTCATGAAAAAGCTACTATACAGAAAACAGAAAAAAAATATTTTGTAGAGAAAATAACTCACTTGACTCTGTTATCTAGAGAGGGGAATATCTTTCAACGTGTAACATATCCTGCAGCTGCTACTGAGATTCCCAAAGCTTTACAAAGCTGATGTAATACATTTTCCAATACAATTAAGCTTCCAAATGCCAGCTCGGTGCTTCTCGCACATGATCGATACAGACTGGCACATGGCATGGGAAAGACAAATGACTTTCTGAGGAGAATAATTAAGCACTCTCATAGTTAAGTTTAATAATTTTCAGACATGGGGGTGATTTCCAAGTGAGAAATTCACTTCCAGGCAGCTACAGCTACACTGTCCTGGCAGGAAGGCACCATTTCCAGCGCTCCCCAACACACAAGCAAAGGCTGCTGCAGAGATGTGCACAGCCATTCTGCACACAGACATATTCACCTATTTTCTGGGTATTGTGTGCAAAGGGCTCTATGCCAATTAAAACGTGGAATTTTTGATAGTAAGTTAGGTGACAAATCTGCACAAAAAACTATCATAGCAAACTAACCACAAATGATGAGTATCTGATAAGACAACAGCCCTTTCTGTCAGCAGTTTGGTTACATCAGCTATTTTTACCATCTATACAAGGAAGCCTGTAATGATAATAGCAGGCCTACCAGCAATGTAAAGGGTTTCTGCCTCAGGAGTTTTTCTATTTTTAACCTTTTTTATAAGGCCCTTCTCCCAGTTTAAGGAAAAACAAATCACATGTTCCTGAAATAATTAAAGATGCTAATGGTAGATCTCAATCAAGCATCATCAGTTTACCATAAAAGATTAAGCTTATTGAATTCATGAACTCTGCCAAACTGAAAAATCCCACAGCATTTTGTTACAGAAGTAACAAAAGCTTTACATTTGGAACACAGCTGATCACTTTAAGTACACAGTCAAAGGCACACTGACTGGCTTTTCTCTACATACAGTTTATCTGCACAGCTAACACAAGCACAGATCCAGGAAAGCTGCTGGCAGCTCTTCCTCGGGTTTGGTTTAAAACATTCACTCAGTGTACACACTTGAAGCATTTCAACAAATTATTTCAGTTTGTTTGAATGCTTCTCCCTCAAAGAGTTGCCATGAGTGCTATTTATGAAGGTCCTTAAGCTCTTTGAAGCTCTTTTCAATCTAAAACAACTGATTTTTCTAAACACTGCAATACTAATTTCTTCCAGGCTACTTGGATTTTCACACTAAGGTCACAAGAATTTTGCAAACTCACAAGTTCACACGAGTTCCCATCCCCCTTTCTGGCCTAGATTATTTTGTTTGTCCAGAACATTTATCACACACAAGGATGACAGCTTGTTCACTGGACAGGCACTAAACATGAATATCATGTTTTAAAAATTAGCATACACATGCTGAACTAGATTTTTTTTAAGTGACCCCAGTGTAACACAGTGAAGAATCATACAGATGCATATGGCAAGACAAACATGAAATGGCATATGGCAAGACGTACACTAAATTATTTCTTAAAGGTGATGCTTGCCCATTTTCAGCCTAGAAATGCACAAAAGTTGAGCATACAACAATCCAAGTTACATACCACACCCTGCCTGGTATATATGTATATTAAGCTTAAGAAGCAGCTGTCTTAGCCAAGAAAGACTGGTGAAAGCACAGCTGAGGATACTCTACACAGGAAGGTGAAAACTAACTCCACACCACCTCCAGGATTGTTACCAGGAAATGCTACTTTACATAATGGAAGTAGGAGAGGAATTCCTCCGGTGTGCCTGAAGAAACCTAATATTTCCAGCCACTCCTATTGCCCCAAACACCTCTAGCTGCCTACCGGTAAGAATAAGCCAGGTGTAGATGAAGCATGGTCCACGGCCAAGTGAAAAAGCCTGCAGAGCCAGCTCAGACTCGAGCCAGCCAGTTTATTAGCTGGAGGTGTAGATGAAGCATGGTCCACGGCCAAGTGAAAAAGCCTGCAGAGCCAGCCAGTTTATTAGCTGGGGTAGGACAACAGAGGAAAGCACCAGCTGTTCCCAGAAAGGTAAAGAGGGACAAACAAAAAGCACGGCAATTTTCCCCAATCAAGACCTGACTGCAGGAGGGTGGGGAAAAGCACTGCTCAGTGCAGACCCCAGATCTTCCACTCCCAAAGTTTCAGCACTTGCTGCTGTCCTCCCTAAAGCCGAGATGCTCGACTTGTGACACCTACACAGCTGCCAGCACTAAGGAAGGAGCGGAGAAGCCGAACACACACACACGAGCGCCCCTAAACAATCCTGCCTCTCCCCTAGCCGTCACACAACCACTGCCTCAGAAAAGCCCTCTTCCCTAAAAGGCACCCAAAATACAGCCCTACAATGAGTCCCTGTGGGCCACACAATGGATTTAATGTCCAAACTGCTTTCAAAACGCTAACCAGGGAATCCCCGAAGAGCAGGAAGAGGAGGAGCAGCAGCAAAGCTCCCACTCCACTCACTCCCTTATCGCGGGGAATCTCGGCGCTTTTCCTCACACTGAGGACGAGCCGGGAGACCTTCTTCACTTATTCCTGCCCGTCCAAGGAAGGCTGCGAGGGAGAGGCGGGGAAGGCTGTGGGGACCAGCCCTACCACACGCCCCTGCCCTGAGGGGCTGCGGCCGCTCGGCTTCGCCCCGCGGGCAGCGCGGGGTCCCCCCTCCCCGCAGCCCCCGTGTGGAAAGAAAAGGGCAGGCGGGCGGGGGAGGTGGTGCTGGCACTGCCCCCCTCTCTCCCCTCACGCCATCTCCGACCTCTCCCCCTCACACACACGCGCGCCCCGCTTCGCTGCGACTCCCACCCGGCTCTCACCTCATCCACCGCCCGGCGGGGCAGGTGCAGCATCCCCAGGAGCAGCTTGAGCTTGACGGCCGAGGAAAGGCCGTGGAAACAGAGACGGATGTTGTCGATGACCGAGGCCGTGAGCAGCGAGGCGATGCTCGGCGGCGCCCACAGCTCGTCCGTGGAGCCCAGTTTGTTGTGCAGCCACAGGCCGGTGTCGCTCTCCCGCATCGACGCCATCTTGGGAGCGGAGCGAAAAAAGAGGGGATTCTCGACGGGCATTTTATGAAGGCACCTAAAGGGAGGAAGGGAGGGGGTGAGGACCCCTGCGGGTCGCCGTCTTGTTCGTAAGCCAAAATGGCGGCGCCCAATGAGATTGCGCTTGGGAAGGCGGAGGCTATGCCGTAACCTAAAATGGCGGCGCCCAGGAGGTGAAATGCAATAAGGCGCTTCTCATCTCTCGGCCAAATGCAAAATGGCGCCCGCCACACCTTTTCGTCCGTACTGCAAGATGGCGGCGCTTCACTGTAGAGAAGCTCCTCTATCAGCCCCCACTCATTGTCCCTCACAGTCCGCCCTGACTCCTCCTGGGCAGAAATGGGAGGAGAGCCGCGAGCGGGCCGCCGAGCCGCGGCAGGGCTGGAGGCAGGGCTTCCTGCCCGACGTGGGTTGGCCCCGGCGCGGCGCTTTCCGGAGCACCACGTCTGCTTCCCTCACAGCCCCCAAGCCCCCTCGGTCGGCCGGCCCGCGTTCTCCCCAGCGCCGCTCCCTGGCGCTAATGCCCCTTTAAAATGCTTTAAGCCAGGGCCGCGATTCTCTCGGGAGCTGCCAGCCCTGCCCGCCCAGAGCAGCTCGCTGCTGCTCTGACGGGAGCCGAGTGTCTCCTCCATGATTTTCCCGGAGGTTGGCGTGCTGGCTGCCTCAGCCATGGCGGCGGTGGCCTCGGGGGCCGTGGTGCCGGGCTAGGCGCGCAGGAACCCGCGGCGCATGCATTCGTGTTCCCTAGCGATTCGGCTCGTTGTTATTCAAACGTGAAAAAATGAATCAATTGCCTAAATCCCGGAAGATTCAAGGGGCTTTCAAGCGCAGCATAAACGGTTCGTTTTAGCGCGTCTCTGTTTGAAATTGAAGTACAGGAGTTGTAGGAGTGCAGAGCAGATTCTGCTGGTCTCTTTCTCCTGCGTTTTTGAATGAAAACGTTTTCTTTACAACATTCTGCCTTTCAAAGACGTTGTTTGCAACGTGATTTCTCGGTTCAGAACAGAGCAATTGTTGCCGAGGTGCTCTATATTTCCTCAATATAGAATCACAGAATCCTTCAGGCTGGCAAAGATCTCAAAGATCACAAAATCCAAACATCAAATCTGCACCGTCTAGGCCACCACTAAGTCCTGCCACCAAATGCCACATCTCCAGGTCTTTTGAACACTTCCTGAATGGTGATTCCGCCGCTTCCCTGGGCAGCCTATTCCAATGCTTAACCACCCTTTCAGTGAAAATGTTTTCCTTACTATTAAATCCAAATATGGCATCATGGAATCTTTTATTTTGTTCATGCTACTGATATCCAAAATGCAGAGTGTCTGCAGCTCTTGGGTGCTATAACTTTTGTCAATGTGGAAGTATTTTAAGGCAAAGAGTTTCTGTGTGAATAAATTATATATTAGTACATTGTGATTTTTTTTCCCCATACCTAATCATGCAATTTTTTGGTACTATCAAACAATTTGTACTCAAATCTGATTTAAGACAGACCTTTTGTATGCAGTGAGCTGATATTTTAGAACAGCAAAATCAGAGTTGAGGCAATTTGTGTAGCACATAAATATCCAGAATTTCTGTCTCAGTATGTGAGTTCAGTATGTAGCTGGGGGGGAAATTACTTATCCACGACTAGCTATTTATCTGTTAGTTTGTACAGAAAAAAGAATACATTGTAACTAAGACACTGAGGTAAATTATTAAATTGGAAACAGAATAGGAAATTAATGAAAGCAAAAGGTTTAAAAATAGCTGTAAAGGAATTGCAGTCATTTAGTCATATAATCCACATGTAATTATCACTAGTAACCTTTGCTCTCCATTAATTATATCCAGCTGTTCAAGGTAGGCACCAGTATTGGTAAGTCTTTGGTACATGCTTATCTATCGGGTAAAATCCATAAGACAGTGTAAAAAATCTAATTAGGCAAGGAAGACTAGTGATGTTCTCATCTTCTAATTTGCAGAAAAGTAACCAACTCCTTTTAAAGTTGTGTTGGGGGGAGGTAAATCAGAACTTTGTAGAGCTGGTTGTCTTCATGCAGTAGCTGTAACAGAGTTCACCTGGTCCTGTGAGATGGCACAAACTCCACCAGTTCAGGTGGCTGCACTGAAAAAACTTTGAAAGGATAGCTCTGGTTCCCTAAAGTTATTGTGGGATTTGGTGCTGCCTTTCTCAGGAGAGCCACACTGCCGGCTGATGGAAGCTAAGGAAGGTTATTACACACACTGTTCCTGTGCTTTCCTTGAGGCATCTGTTTTTGAACACTGTCAGTGTTAAGGCACTGAGCTGCATGGCCGTCTAGTCTGAGCTGCTGTGATCACTTCTGTGCTTTTATCTAAGTGTGACTTGAGAAGGGAGCCTATTCTGTGATGTGTATCTGGAATGTGAGGATTTGCATAGTCAGTTTGACTCCAGCCCTATCACCTGCAGATTTGTCCCTCTGGCTCTTCACTGAAGAGGCATCAGATGCTCTGGAGATTAAGACAAAGTGCCAGCCCACTGTAAGAGCTTTTGTCCTGCCAGCTACTTGTACCTTAAATTTCTGTTGGAATAAAGTGCTTTATTATTTTTTTTTTTAAACCTAAATTTTGTTTAGCTTGGGTAGTGATTTTCAGCGTGATATGGCAAATATAAAAAGGCTCGTTCCTCAGGGATTTCTGGAGCTGGAAAGGGCATACTTGATTTCTCTGGAATGCTTTTTATCCCTCAAGATGTTGCATTGCACAGATAACTGTCTGCAGATGTTTTTTTTCCTGTGAGTTGCAGGTCCCTATTTCAAAGGAGGTGATGTTGAATATGAAACAGTTGAGAAGAGTTGGAGCGTGCTACAAAATTGACCAGGGGGACACCCTGGATTCACCCACCCAGTCGTGAGAGTATTGAAACAAGAGTCAGACATAGGCAAGGATTCATTTCTTTGAATCTGCTTTATAATTGTTTTAAGAAAGGTGCAGCTTTTTCCCACAGCAAAACCAGTGCTCCATGACTTTCCCAACCTGCAGTTTCAGCTTGTTACCTGTTGAAATATTATCTATCTAGTGCTACACTACCCAGAGCAGGGTGCTGGGTCACCTGCCAGATTCAGGATAATTGTTTGTACCCGGCAGGATGTTCAGGGGCAGAGCCTGGAGTTATCCTGGTTCAAGGAAAAGCAGCACAGCATCTGGTACCCTCCCAGGCAGAGGTTTCAGTTTGTTGTTGGCACTGATCTCTCAGTGAACAAGAAGCTGCTTTACTGTTTTTAAGGAAGTGCTGAGGCATGTGCAGCAAACACAGCGTTGGCACGAGCAGTGGCACTAAGTTCCCACTGGCACCTCATCCTGCAATGGCAAGCATGGCAGTGTCTGAGCCAGCAGGGCTTTGGGCTGTGGTCCATGCCATGCTCACAGGGAGGCAGACAGAGCAGTAGATTGTGTATTATCACTTAATTTATCCTGCTCCCCCAGCATTGCCATCAGGACTGAATAACAGCTTTTCTGTGAACTTTCGTGTTTGTATTTTGAGTTCTAAATACCACATCTTTTCCATAGGCTTTTAAAGTGCAGTTTCCTAGGTTTTCAAAGCAGAAAAAGAAGATAAATTTTATCCTTTGATATCAGGCTAGCATGTAAGTTTTCTGTGGGGTTAAGCATTTAGAGGTGTCAGGGGCACTAATGGGACAACTGGTAGTAGTACAATTCTAATATCCTTTATGGTAACTGACCCACTTTCTCAGTGGGTCTAAGGTAACAGTTAATTGTCATTAAGTACTGGTTGATTTTATAAAATGGTATTTAATGTCAGTTTGAAGACCTGTAAATACATTATACATTTTTATGGTAATTCAGTTTGTAAATGCTGCTTATTATGGGTTAATGCAATTGTGTGGGTGCATCATTTTGTGTGGGAGTTTTATTTGACCCATTTTAAGACTGCTGTAGCAATGTGATCTGAAAGGACACATGGGCTGAGAATTTACTCAAATAAAACCAGATTATCTGACTTCCTCAAGTCTAAGGCACAGCTTTCTAGTGGGAGCCACCTGTGTCATCTGTGACACAGCCATCTCCCTTCCCTGGCAGGCAAAGCCTCTGGCAGAAATAAAGATAAATAAAGATAAAAGCTATGAAAAATGTGCTGGTATGTCTTGTCCTGTGAATTGGCATGGCATAATGGGCAGTAATTTTTTCAGTGGTGCTCCATCCAGCTGCCTGTGCCCAGGATTATGCTTACATTGCTGTCATACCCTCTTGCAACTTCAGTCACATGATTTTGTGATTATTTTCCCTCTCAAATAAACTTCAAAGTGATGTAGTGACTTAAGACCTATGATGAAAATGGCCCAAGAAAAGGAAGAGGTTGAATTCAAGACAGTAATTTCCCTTCTATCTTGCTCTAGAGCAGTTTAACTTGATACACTCCCGCTCTGGGCTCTGATGTGTGGCTGATGGGGCCTGAACACTGAAGGCCAGCAGAGATGAAACAATTTCATTGAGGTCTCTGTAGGGCAGCACACCTACCTGAGAGGTCCCATCCTTGAGGGAACACCCATCTGTTTGGAAACAGATCTGTTTGGTTGCCTTTGCCACCTCTTCCATTATCTTCCTTTTACTCTTGATTTTAGTAAGACTTTTAATAGATTAATGTAACAAAAGGAAGAATTAAAATTGTTATTTGAAACATCAAACTACGAATTCAGAGCTCAATTAACTTCTCAATTACTTCTAATAAATAAGAACACCATCACTATGAGCAGTCCAAATACCATTAATCAGACCTAACGATATGAGAAATTAAAAACCATTAGAGGTTTTGAAAAACCCCTAGGCCTAAAACACAAAATATTGCATACAAATAAATTTGTTGTTTTAAAGTCATATATTTGCCCATGCACTCTGCTTCAATTGTCTCTGCTTATGATGATATGGCCAAGTGGTAGAAAGGCCTTGCATTGGATCATCTGTTACTTGACATCTTGTGGCATACAGTGTATAAAACATCCTGTTGTTATTTTGCTGGAGGCATAATGCTTTCAGCAGCTGTCACAATGGAATTGTGCTGTGAAATGAGGGGGATTAAAGGTTGTGACATCAGGGCATGTTGAGACAATGCTGTGATCTTCCACAAGGAAGTCATGAAGTTTTCAAGGAAGAATGCTTCCCTCTTCATAACCCCCAGCACTTTGTTTGCCAACACCTATAAGTTTCTTTCCTTTTTTTCTCTCCCTCTTTATTATGTTTCAGAAACTATTCTTCATCTTATTTAATTTTTTGTCACTCTTCATGCATGTGGAATTCAGGAATGTAGGACTGGATGAGATGTCCTACATGACCACTTGCTGTCACGTGCCATGCT